CCCCGACGGAGTCCCGCAGACAGACGAGGTAGAGATGGACATGTCCAAGATCCTGCAGGAAAAGCGACTGTTCGTTGTCTCCGAACAGATGATGACAGGCTGGTTAGAGGAATACGCCGCTGTCGAAAACTACGGTTTCGGCAAGGTGATTCCCTTGAGCGCCTCCCCCTACCTCCACCAAGGCAACATCCGCACCCAATTCGTCTACCGTCACTGCCGCGCCGACGGCTCCTACCCCGGCCACCAACTCGAAGCCACCAGACCCTCGACCACCAGCCTCAGTTTCCACGACCAGTCCTCCCCCCTCACTCCGCTCCTCCGCTCCGCCACCGGCCTCTCCGACCTCCTCACCACCCGCGTCTCCCACTGCCGCGGCGCCATGGCCGTATCCCTCGTCTTCCCCGACGGTTTCAAGATCTCCTTCTCCGGCGACTGCCGTCCCTCCGCCGGCTTCGCCACCATCGGCCGCAACTCCACCGTCCTAATCCACGAAGCCACCTTCCAAGACGACATGGCCGTATCCGCCATCGCCAAGAAACACTCCACCCTCTCCGAAGCCCTCGAAGTCGGCCGTCTCATGAACGCCCGCGCCATTCTCCTCACGCACTTCAGCCAACGCTACCAAAAGCTCGCCCGAGTCGAAGAAGCCCCTGCCTCCCGCACGGCCAACAACAAACCCGCCGCTGAACCCAGCAACCACGTTGGCCAAGTCGGCCTCGACGTCCCGGATGACGAGCCCCCACAAAACAACAACACCCGTAACCAAATGTTCGGCGACATCAAAGTCACCAGTCGTCCTAAGATCACCGTCCCGATCGTCGCGGCTTTCGATTACATGCGTATTCGCGTCCGCGATATGCCTATCGCTCAGGCATATGCGCCTGCCGTCGAGAAGTTGTTTGATCTCCAGGAACGAGCGGGCGAGGAGAAGGCCGAGCAGAGGAAGGAGGCTGCTAAGCAGATCGCACAGAATAGGCAGAAGGCAAAGAAGCAGAAGCAGGAGAAACATAAGCAGATTCCTGTTGCTGCTGAGGAGATGGAGATTGAGAAGCCGGAGGGGGCAGATGCTAAGTCGAAGTCGATTTGGAGTGCGAGTGAGAGTGAAAGTGGGTGGAGCACAAGCGGGAGTGATAGTGAGGGTGAGCGCATTAAGAAGGAGCATTATGCTAGGAAGCGGAAGGGTAGTGCTGCTGCTGCTGCTGGTAAAGATGGGCAGTAGGAGTAAGTAGAGTGTAGGAGATATAGGATAATATTATCATATTAGAGTATATAACTTTCGAACATATTATCGTGATGTATTATTACTTTTATTGGTATTTGACTACGGTCAAGCGTATTGGTTTTGAATAGATTACTACAGCTCAAAAAGCAAAGCAGCCAAATACTGCATATGTATTATGTCTTCCAATAGACCATAGTAGTAAAATATGTATATCTATTAGACCAGATCAACCAATTTCCCCATCTCAGAATGGTGGTCAAGAAAGAGCAAAAGAAAAGAAAAGAACTAGGTACAGAGTAAAGCAACCTCGCATACACACACGCAGATCAACCATCGTAGGCTCTAGAACCCAGCCACCGACTTCTCCGCATAATTCTTCCCATACAACCCCTCACCAAGGTTCTGCAGACACTCGGACCTCCAGTCCTTGGGGGTGAACTTGTCCACGATCTCCTTGAACGCTTCCAGCGTACAGAAGCTCTCGTCGCCGGGGAGATGGTTCTCGGCCTTAGCAGCGCAGCCGGGGATCCGGACAGGACGGTCGTTGTATCTAATGCGGACGTAGTGGGAGCGGAGGGATTCTTTAGATGATTCGGGGAGGGAGGACAGAGGGACACGGGCTGTTTCGGAGGGTTGGGGGGTATTAGGCGTGCTGGAGGAGGAAGAGCCAGTTAAAAAGGAGAAGAGACCCTTCTTTGGGGTTGCGTCGCCAGATGTGGATGCCGCGCGTGCGTGATCTTGTTCGGCTTTGGAGAAGAGCTCGATGGCTACGGAGGAGGTGAAGGGGGGCCATTTCCCGTCGAAGGCGCCCGTGCTGGTGAGGATAGCGGCGAGGGTGGTGTCGTGGCAGCCGCTCATGGCGAATTTGATGGCTTTGCCGTTGGTTGGGGAGGAGCCAGAGGCAGAGGACTCGCTGCGCCAGCCGCCGTCAACGGCGGTGCTGACCATGCGGTCGACGACATCGCCGAGGAGAGCGCCAATGCCGAGTTTGCGGTATTCGTTGCTCTCGGTGTAGCCGGTGAACCATTCGTCGACGGAGATCTGGTCGATGTAGTCTCTGAGTTTGCGGTCGTAGAATTCGGAGGGAAGCTTGGTTGCGGGGCCGTGGGCATCGGTAGCGTTGATGGTGTCGTTGATTCCGCACAGTTGAGGGTGGCCGTCCACTGCGACTCGAGGGGAGCTTTCCGGCATCCACTTGGAGATGCGCTTGTTGATGTAATCCATTTCATCGGAGGTGTTCCCTGTAGGGGGTCTGGGTTAGTCTTTGTTTCTATGCTATACGTCTGCTATTGCATGATGGGGGGTGCATTGGACTGGGGTATCTGGGGGTAGAGGACGTACATTTGAGTGCTGCTTTGTTTGCAAAGAGTCGAGCAAGTTGCCTGAAGCGGCGGCAGTTTCCTTCATTCGGGAAGAGGGTCTCCTCCGATACGGCGCGTGCAACGATCACCGGGGGTGGGAAGTCCTGGGTGCGGGCACTGGCGGGATACATGCCCCAGAAAGCTTGCTGGAGGGACTCGAGGGCACGGGGAATGGGAGTGGCACGAAGATACATATCCTCGGTATCGGACTTGATCTTGGGCATGAAACCCAGCTGGTCGACATACAAGTGTCGCAAACGCTGACCTAGGGCAAAGGTGGTCTCCCGTCCTTTGTCTGTCAGCTCACCGTGTTGGCTGGTACCCAGTCAGCAGGACCTCCTGAAAGTTTATCGCTGAAGTCCAACTTGCCAGATGCCTTCTATGTCACCAGTTGCTCCCACTGCAACCACAGACTGGTCTTTGTCGCCAAAAGCCTCCGTCTTCCTCCTCCATTCGAACCCGTTCCACGATGAGAGGTCTTTGTTGCTGGCGGCCATTTGAATCATTTGTCGGGCAACATTGCAGTACGGCCAGTCTTTGCAGAAGTAAAGAAGTCAGTGATGGGCCGGTCAAATGTATGCGTCAAGGTGGAAGGACGAATTACATGGAGCGAGTCCTGCCTAAACAATATTAGCCTGGAGGAGATAAGCTGGGGGGGAAGGGTTGGACCGCATACATTCTGGAAACGCGAAGAGACGGGCGTTCGTTCTCCTGAAGAGCAGAGGTTAGATCAGGAATATTGAAGCAAAATTGTAATATGTATATCCTCCTTACCATGACGGAGAAACTGAACCATGCATTAGCCAGCGTCTCGCATGGGCAATCGGGGGGGTTGATTTGCCGGCACTTACCACTTGCACCAATTGGAGTTTCAAGTCCCGAGGATAGAGCCGGTCCAGCTCCTCCTGGGAGTAAGGCTCACGGGGGACCAGAGTTGTCATTGGAAAGGCAGTCCGCAGTGAAGCACCTGGCAGGACTTGAGAGACGGCGTCAATGACAAGGGGGAAAAGGTAAAGAGCGAGCCTGGCAGACTAATAAATGGATGAAAGACAATGGAAGCAACGGCCGGACAGGCGGTGATGACGCCAGCAGGCGGTCTGGTTGAGGGGAGCCAATCAACAGGCGGCACTGAACCCCGAGGCCGTTTCGATGGGTTTTCGGCGGGGATTTTCTCCATTCATTCCATTTGCTGTGCCTGCTTTAATTTACGAGGAAGTAAGTTCCTCGGATGCACGCTTGTTGATCAGGGTCCTTTTGGCTGTTTCACTAAACATTGGAGTCCTAACTGGTTACTATCTTCATATCCTGAGTATATCAAAGGTACTATTGTAGACACGATTCCTGAACAAGTATTCCCAAACTTCTTCTCAACGAGATTGAATACAGTCAGTCTACTACTCCGTAGTAGTACTAATTGTGTCGATGTCCAGAGGTGGTCTTCTCCATCATCCTCGTAGTTGAGATAGGTGTGGTTGACAGGTTGTCATGCACGCCGACTGCATATATTCATCGCACTTATTTCCCGATCAAGTCTCCGTAACCATACACCTCTTGACTCTTCTTATGGGTCAAATAAATAATGGCCCTATCTCAATGCCGCCATTGAATTCTATTGTCAGATTCGTGGTTGCCCTCCAAATTGGCCGCCCAATATGTGCACCGCGCTGTCATGGTATCATTTCCAGTGCAAATTACCACACGTTGTAAGATTATACCTTGTATTATATCCCGACATGAAGCCATTTGTGTCGCTATCACAGCTGCAAACTTGACATCTTTCCATCTGGACTCTGTAGCATGAGATAGATAAGTGCCCCGGTAGTTGGTTGGGGGAAGTGCGGAAAGGATCACGCACCAAAGGCGGAGAGAAGCATCTCTCCGTGCCAAGCCGCACCTCCCGCGCTTATCGCATTGGACGCACCGCATCTCTTTCACTGTCCTCCACTTCCATCCACTGTGATTGGCAATCCAGGAACGCACTGTCAGGCATTGAGACTTCTGCTGAGTATAAGCCACTCCCATTGCACCATCTGTATGTGTTCTTAGCATCACATCTTCTCCAAGTTCCTGTGCAAGCCCTCCAATCCAGCCTGTTCTGCCCCGTGCCTACCCACCTATACATCCTCTTTGGTCTGATATTATTGTTATCGCGAGAGAGAACGTATTGAGCCTCTCATCCCGTGACTCCCTTCCTCTTTCGCTTGAGTAATTATTTGCCAGCCATGCACTTCACACACTGCTGAGCCTTCCTTATTCCCATCCGTTCCTGTGCAACAAGCCACCCTCCAGTCACTCGGCCCATATCCTGGTTGCTCCGTCGATCATCTTTCCAGGGTTCTGGTGCGGAGATTGCAAACACTGCGTTTCATACTTCACTGTCTCTCGTTTGGCTTCAATTTGCTTGAACTCAATCAGTTCAAACACGTCCCCCTCCTCATCTCATATCATCGTGTCGTGTGAGACATTGAACTTGTGGTAAGTCTCTGTCAAGTTCTTTGGATGTAGTTGTTTTTTGCACTCGCTGAGCTGATTACCTAGGTGGAAAGCATCGTTTCTGAAATAGCACACGGATTGAACCGAGTCTGAAGCCATGGATGTAAGGATTCTTCCAATGCCCCTCTCTCTTATCTGCAGAAGAGCCTGCACCGTCTGTCGAGCTGTGGGAATCAATGAGGTGTCTTTTTGAGTGCTGTGCTGGACTGCTTGGTCCAGATTGGCTCTGTTGTCTGTTGTTGCTGTTGCCTGCGTGTCAGAAGTACTCTGTGTTGTGTGAGCTATCTGCAGATGCCCTTCAACGTCCGACCGGCTCAACCAGAAATGAGTTGTTTTCTGTGCTCGGATACACCCAGAGCAATCGATTCTGTTTTGTACGAGTCTATGCACGTGTCAAACATGCCCGGCGAGTCCCAGGTGTTTTTTCACGTTCTCATCACATTCGAGCTCGGGGCACGTGACCTGTATTCACACTTTCACCTCATGTTGTTGGAGAGGACTAGATAGCTCATGGGCATTCATTTCTCTGCTGTCTTTGTTGTCTCTGCTGAAAGCTTCTCACGCGCTTGGTCATCATGGAGCTACCTCGTCGGATCGAACCTGGCTGGGGGAGCGCATCCAAACTGACCCCAAGCGAGAATACTACAGCCCCCAAGTCTGATGCACAGCTAATGCTTGAGAATATTCTACAGGGAACTACCCAATCTATGGAGCAGTCCGCTGAGTCGGCCAATAAACCCCAGGATGCTAAGCCTCGTCTGATGCTGATGGGCCTGCGTCGGTAAGCTGTCCCTACCGTAGCTGGTCCCGTACTGTATTCTAACATTACCTAGGAGCGGCAAGTCATCGATCGCTAGCGTGGTCTTCCACAAAATGCCACCCAACGAGACTCTTTTCCTGGAATCGACGACCCGGATCCAGAAGGATTCAATCCAGTGAGTACGCAGGTCCCCTACCAGCCATACTGCACTGACACAGGCAAACAGCTCGTTCATGGACTTTCAGGTCTGGGATTTCCCTGGTCAGTTGGAGTACCTGGAGCCGTCTTTCGATCTGGAAAGCATCTTCGGAAGTTTGGGCGCGCTGGTTTGGGTCATTGACGCTCAAGACGATTACATGGAATCGGTGGCGCGTCTCAATCGCACGATCTTGACCGTCCAGCAGTACTATCCGAACATCAACATCGAGGTCTTTATTCACAAGGTCGACGGTATCACCGATGAATACCGCACCGACACTTTCCAGGATATTGTCCAACTCATTTCGGACGAGCTCAGTGATGCGGGCTACGAAAATGCTCCGGTTCATTACTACCTGACCTCCATCTACGACTACTCCGTGTTTGAGGCCTTCAGTAAGGTCATTCAGAAACTCATTCCCAACCTGTCTACGTTGGAGAATCTGATCAATACCCTGTCCAACAATTGCGGATTTGAAAAGACCTATCTTTTCGACGTTCTCAGCAAGATCTACATTGCGTCCGACACCCGTCCGGTCGACATGTCCTGCTATGAGATGTGTTCCGACTATATTGACGTTATTGTGGACATTTCGGAGCTGTACTCCTGGGATCACCCCGACCGCAAGGCCAAGGGCGAGCAGAATCAGGAGGCAGAAAGCCACGCTGTTTTGCACGATGATACGATGATCCACCTCATGGAGATGAACAAGTATGTGACCGAGCTGCCCACTCTTTGACGATACTAACAGATAGCAGGTATCTTTGTCTTGTTTCCGTTATCCGAAACCCTGAGTCGAAGGATAAAAAGGGCCTTATCGATATGAATTGTCGTACCTTCCAGGAAGCTCTCAATGATGTCTTCTCCCGCAGCTGGGAGCAGGACCAGGAAGAGCCCGGAGTGGTGACCGAGGAGTAAAATACCGGATTTATTTGCATTGGCGAGGTTGTCTTGTTTTTGTTCTGTTTCGTCGTCCCTCTTTTGGGGCTTAGCAGGGAGTATTGAGGCACGGTTCGGGATGGCATGACACCTCGGATGAGCCCTCTATCTTGCGACGTCGAGAATATGTGAAGCTCTGGTAGCTTTCACGCTTTTTTGATAGGATCAAGACTGAGGCTGGTACTTTGATAGTATTATATCCGAGTTAGTAGTCAATACCATAATGTGATATCCTACCTAGTAAACATTCGACCCGCAGTAGCCCTGGTAGTAAGGCATCAAGGCAGAAAGCTGGACGTGAGACCCGCCCGGCGGAACTTTCTTCCTGCGCAACATAAATTCATGTGGAAATTCTTTTCTTCGCTTGTTTTCTGTCATCACCAGCTGTGGTTCTTGAACGCCCTTTGCGACTTCAAAAATGGATTGAAACTTCCGCGATTGGCTATGCCAGTACTAACTTCGAAGCATCAATACTACAGGTATATTTTCATCAGCAATCTTTATGGTAAGTTCGACAGAATTCATTGCACATGCTTCAATCAAACTTCGCTCCCCAATCTCGATGATGAAAACTTTTCCTACATTCGCAGTTTCCACGCTAGCCGTCGCGAGAACCCATTCTAGACGTGCTCTGTGCGCAATACTTCCTTGGATGTCTGACGAGATTGACTGCCTTTGCCTTTGCTTCTGCAGATTTTATGTAGTTGAACTTGGCTAACTGGATTAAACTTACAGGTTCACTTTAGATGCATATCTGCTTCGATATAGATATCAGGAGGAATACTAGACCAAGACATACTCGTCAGTCTGCAGGATAATGGACATGGCACAAAAGCAGCTAGCTACTGATCACCCAGTCGCTTTATGCTTTTCTCAGGATATCTGTCTAGATAATGCAAGAATTATGATCTGTACAAATACCTCTCCTCAAGTAAACCAAGACCGTAGCTGTACCTCTGGCCCTTAAATTTCAATAAAAGACACTATACCTGTCACACCATGCGACTCCCGAAACAAGTCAACGGAGAGCGCGGAAATACTAAGGGTACTTAGCCAAGTAGCAGCTACTAGTTACTTACCTTTCTTTTACTAACCATCCATCCATTCCACCTATCCCTCTTCTCCCATTACTATACCTACCTCTACTTGTCTCCCAATCCAATGGCCTACAAGTAATTTACAACCCAACCATCTCACCACCATCAATTACAACATAGTACAGCAACAACCATGTCCTCCGAACTCCGCCAACGCCAAAAACCAACTCCATCCAAACCCTCCAAAACCACCAAGTCATCATCATCCTCATCACCCAAAAATGGCATCTCCATCCTAGACATCATCCGTGTGCTGGCCACACTCATAATCGCCTCGTGCGGTCTCTCCTACTACATGACCTCATCCGAATCCATCCTCTGGAACTACCGACCCTGGTTCACCCGCTGGCCAGTCCTAGTCCGCTACATCGTATGCCTCATCCCCATAACCCCCTCACATCACACACACATCTACTAACAATCCCCAACAGCAAGGCCCCCTCCTCCTAACCCCCACCGAACTCTCCCTCTACAACGGCACAGACCCCACCCTGCCCATCTACCTCTCCATCAACGGCACCATCTACGACGTATCCGCGAACCCGCTCGTCTACGGCGCCGGCGGCCACTACAACTTCTTCACGGGGCGGGATGCGACGCGCGCCTTCGTGACGGGATGCTTCAAGGAAGATCTCACGCCTGATATGCGCGGCGTCGAGGAGATGTTCATCCCGATCGATGATCCCGAGGAGGAGAAGCGCTTGACTAATGGGCAGAGGAAGGTGCGGAGGGAGCAGGATTTGAGAATCGCTAAGCAGAGGATTCATAAGGCCGTGGCGCATTGGATGGGGTTCTTTGCGAATCATAAGAAGTATTATGAGGTGGGGAAGGTCGTGGGACTCGAGGAGGTGGTGAAGAGGGAGGAGGAGGAGGGCGTTAAGAGGGAGCTTTGTACGGCTGCGAGGCAGCAGAGGATGACGAGGGAGCAGGTTGAGAAGGCGAAGGGGGGGAAATAGTAGGTTGGATTATTTAAATAGCTTATATGTATGTATGGTGTATGATAGTGGTTTTGGTGTGGGAGAGGAGGAGGGGGGGTATTATCGTCGCTTGGGAATTTGTTATCTAGACGATAGATGCATAATCATGTGAAGATTGAAGATATCCATCCAGACATTTGGTATCGCTACAAGTGCATGTATCCAGTCTTCGACTGATTCGCTACGCAAATCTTAAAACCATGAACATGGCCTTCTACAAGGAATGTGTTTGGAACAGATTTTGGTTGAATTTCAGCCAGTCATATTTTAACTTGACATGTCCATCAAATCGCCCAGCCCGACTTTCCGAATTTTCATTCGAGTGATATCATATCGTTGCACAAAGAAAAATGCGACGCGCGAGGAAAAATATTCATAGCGTCATACGTTTACTCGGCGGTGACGGCGCGGGCTATTACCGATGTCAGTATTCCATCTCTCTCACACACACACATATACTGTAGGATTCCGTGAGGGGGGTGCGTACTGTAGATGTTCATCTTGGAGTGACCAACAACCTTCTTGATCTGTCCCTTCTCCTCAAGGTCAGCAAGGGCCTGGCGGGCCAAGCTGCCGTTGATCTTGAGACGGTCGACCAGAGTGGCGACAGTGATCAGACGGTAGGACTGGACATCCTTGTTGAGACGCTCAGCGGTCTGCTTCTCGAGGACGACGGCGTGCTGGGCCTTGTCCTTGACTATATTCGGAGAAAAAAATCGATGTCAGTAAATCATATTCCTCTTTTCATTTTGTTCTCGGTTTTTGTGTATCGGTTCGCGATCGATCGCATTCATGCATCATGTGCGTTGGTTGTGTGTGATATCCATCCATCCATCGCTATCGGGTAACATGTAGATGTGTGCTTCTTCTTTCTCTTCGTTCGATACAATAACAGGCGATTTTCGACTCTTGAACTCGATAGGGGGGGAATGATAATGATGGTGATAGTGATGGAAAACGGGGAGTTATAGCGTACCCTTGCCCTTGGACCACTTCTTTCTGGTAGGAGCCTGCGAAATAATATTAGTATTGATACATCTTTCCCCCTTTCTGCACTGCGAGTGCTACTCGGCGATGGTACTCACCATTTTGACTGTCTGATGTAGCTGTTCGACGGAGGAGAGCTGCACAACAGATCGAACGGTCTGAAGTTTGAGTGCCCAAGTGCGAAATTCGAGTGGGGGATGACTCAGCGTCACGTGCGGATGAACCCTAAGCCCTGGGCTGTCGGTGCCGCTCGGTTAGCATTGGCTGCTGCAATGCCGGATGTGATTGGCCGGTCGGGGTACACCTGTTTGTATGCTTGATGGTATAGTACGCAGTACTGGAGTATAAGGGTCTGCTATACATAGGTGGTACCCAAAGGTAGAATTAAGATTAAGTATAGTTTCCGCTATGTACACAGGTATTGTATCAGTTCGTTATAGGGTTTCCCTCATGAAATCTCCCTCGTAAAAGCATACCCGGCTTTGATGCCATTGGGTGTATAGTAGTATAGAGGACCAGCTGGCAATATGATCATTCAGCCGGATAAATGCGCTTTGTGGCACTCCTCGTCGGCGAACTCATCTGCTCGTACTAGGTCCGTAGCTACTTCCCTTGACTTTACCATTAATGGTAGTGGTAACCTTGAATTGTGGCGCATCTTCGACACTCTCAAGGTGACCAAGTACAAAGTCGTCCGGGGTTCCAAACCAGAACTTCGAATCATCATCCTCATCGAAAGACAGCCATCGCACCTCGTATCGTCCGGTTTCGCTTCGCGGGACGGGGATGCGCGTAACTAACGGCTGGCTATACGGCGACCAGTACCGAACAGCAGCGTAGGCGGTATTCGCTGTGGTTATAAGTAATTGCGTCTTGGAATGGTGCCACACGACCTGTCTAACAGTATGTTCGTGGACTAGCGCCGACAACAGGACTGGGGTGCTCTCCAAATCCCATATCCAGACAATGTTTGGTCGCGTCGGATCGACGGTGCCCAGAAGAGTCCCGCTGGCGCTAAAGGCCATGATCGACACTCCCCGGGGCGCCCCGGATGGCTCGACTGGCATACCGAACGCAGAGGAGCTCGATGCTTCAGCATATTCAAGGTCTCCGTCAGCTGCATAGCGTTCCCGCCAGACACTGGGGGAATTCTGCTCTATCTGAAAGACATGGGACAGTGTGATAGAACAGGAAAACTAGATTTATCAGCTTTGTCATGCATAGAGCAGCCATCCGGAGTCATCTTACTGTTCGTGTCTTGAGAATGTCAACAGTCCCATCGACCTTTCCAACAACCAGAAGCTCTGACACACCGCGTTGCCCTGTAACAGGGCTCCACTCTATCCCTCTAACGCCGAGGTCGAGCGAACTATCGATGCCCGAGGGGCCACTATACGTTCTGAAGAGCTGCCCATCAGCCGTGAAAATGAGGACTCTGGTGCCCGCACTCGCAGCATCCCACACGGCTATCCATCTCCCGTCCGGACTCCATTTGAGGCCCTGAGCGTCTATTGTAGGCAAGACTGCTCGGCCTATGAGCTCGTAAGATCGAAATTCGTGAATGGTCAATAGATCAACTGCATCCGGCTTCAGAAGAACAGCAAATTGCCTTGTTTTGGGCCGGTAACCGAAGCCATTGCTGTTCGAAAACTTGGGACTTTTGATGATTTGGCTTCGACCAGAGTCCAATCCGAAGACTGTTATTTTCGTGTTCCAGGCATGAAAGAACACGACCTCGTTCTCATCGCCTCCGAAGTCGACGTATGTAGCGCCAGGCTCAATGCTTTCGATTTCTGCGAGCAATTGCAACGGGTCCAATTGCCAGACCAGGATCCGTGAATCACTAGAACAAAGCACGCGTCTTCCTGGGGAACTCACTCCTGCGTAGGAGTGCGTGCTTGAAGGTAAAACAGGCTTGGATCTGGAGAACTTCAAGAACTTTGAAGCAATTTCCTTAAGCTTGACGATCTGTACCTCTTTGAAATCAGGCGATGCCGGGTCCAGATGGAGGACAAGATCTCTGCCATTCAATTGCGCGGCGTAGTCGCCATCCTCAGATAGAGAGATTGTGTTTGAGACTAAACTCATCATCAGTGATACAATTTGCTACCAAAACGGCTATAAACGCACCCCCTGCTCCGGTGGAGTCCATTGTTGATTTCAGCTGCAGCTAGGTTCAGTAACTGCCGTCGAGATGCAGTACAGAAATTATGACGCGTGCATGTACTCCTGGTATCATGCGCATCCTAGACACTGTTTCTCATCACGAGCTTCTAGGGATCGAAGTCCTGGGACTGTTTTGAAGGTTTCATTATTTATCTGAACCCACTTTATTGGAAGGCGCCAAGGCTTCACATAGATTAGGTAAGCAGTACTATGAAAACACAGATGTGACAGCTGCTAATGATAGCCATGCGCATCAACAAAGTCTGTAAAGGTTGAAAGAGAGAGGGCATCCATTCTCAATCTTAGATCATGCAATATATAAGCATCTGACACCTTGTACGACCAGAAACAGGCATATTGAAAAGACAGCTGAGTGGCGTGTGCATGTTCTTTCCCCGGATAAGATAAGAGGATCAACATTGATCCCCTCCGAAATAAATTAATTGTCGGCAAAAAAGCGCCCGCCATCCGCATCATTTGCGACTTACCAGACTCCAGATACCCTCCGCAAACCGCTACCTTGATTGCTCCTTTCGGGGACGAGAATCTCTTAGTTCGTAAAGATTCGTCTCCCTCGGTTCTCACCCCCCTGGCTGGGGCACTTCATCCCCAAGTTTCTACGCCCAAACGTGAAAATGGCGGTCCCGGAGACACAGCCCGCTCCGCAAGGAAGCGTCGCAGACCAGAATGCGCCTGTAGCTGCGGCTGCTGAACCGAGAAAGAAGCTCCTTGGAAGACAGTTCTACGAGAGTATTGGAAGCCCGAAGTACATCATTGCACCTATGGTGGACCGGTCTGAGTTTGTAGGTTCCTCTATGAACGTACTCTTCGATCACAACTAATCATCCCGGAGGCGTGGCGCATGCTCACTAGGTCGTTCATGACACCGGAAGACCAGAAGAAGGTTCTTGCATACTCCCCCATGTACCATGCGCGCTTGTTCCGTGAGCAAGCAAATGTCCGCGTACAGCACTTCCACCCTACTCGCGCTGCCGCCGGCAAAGGCGAGGATGAGTCGCCATATCTCGACGGAAACCCTTCGTTCGATCGGCCTCTGTTTGTACAATTCTGCGCCAATGATCCTGATGATTTCTTGGAGGCCGCGCGCCATGTGGCACCATACTGCGATGCGGTGGATCTCAATCTGGGATGTCCTCAAGGCATTGCGAAGAGGGGTCACTATGGTGCTTTCCTCCAGGAAGACTGGGATCTGATTTACAAGCTGATCAACCGACTTCACAACGAACTCTCGATCCCAGTCACTGCCAAATTCCGTATCCAGGAAACGAAAGAGAAGACGCTCGAATATGCGAAGATGATCTTGTCCGCTGGTGCGAACATAATCACGGTGCACGGACGGAGAAGAGAACAGAAAGGCCACAACACCGGACTGGCTGATTGGAGCTACATTCGCTATCTCCGCGATAACCTGCCCCCAGAGACGGTCATCTTCGCGAATGGCAACAACTTGAACTATGAAGATCTGGACCGTTGTCTGGAAGAGACAGGTGCTGATGGTGTCATGAGTGCGGAAGGCAACCTGTCCGATCCATCGATCTTCAGCAAGCCCCCTCCAGTTGGCAGTGAAGGGAGGGAATACTGGCGAGGCAGGGATGGAAAGGGTGGATATCGTATCGACGCCATGCTACGGCGGTACTTGGACATCATCTACAAGTACGTGCTTGAACAACCTGTTCCGGACAGGAAGCCGCTTTATCTTCCATCGGACGCAGTGGAAGAAGAACCTGAACAGACAACCGAAACAACCGAGGAAACCGAAGACGGCCCGCCCAAGAAGAAGCAGAAGCGCGAGAAGTCAAAGAGAGCGGCCTCTCCCAGTCTCGGTGTCATGCAGGGCCACCTCTTCCAGCTTCTCCGCCCTATGGTCTCTGTGCATACCAATGTCCGTGATGCGTTGGCAAGATCGAGACCTGGCGATATGCCAGCGTTTGAGAATGTCCTGGCTCTCGTCGAACAGGCAATCAAGAAGGGTCTCAAGGAATACGAGCAATTCCCGGAACGCTTTGAGAAAGACCCGAACCAAGAACTGACCGGATCCAAGGCGACCATTGCCGAGTATGGCAGGCCTTGGTGGATCTGCCAGCCACACATTCGACCACTTCCTGAGGAGGCTGTCGAACTGGGTGCGCTTACTGTGAAGAAGAAGAACGATGGCAACGAAAAGCCCAAGGCGGACGAGTCGTCTGAAAAGGCCACCCCTACTGCAGAGGGGTCTGCCACTCCTTCGAAGACGGACGGGGCAGTTAACACGCCTGCCACGGCGACTACTCCGGACAACCTGGTGAGCGGTTGATATCACGATTCAATATTTGGTGTTTTTGCGGAGTAATGGGACCAGCATCTTATACCCAAGTTGGGCATAGCTACTATTCATGTTAGATATAGACGCATACAGAGCACATAGTACATAGAGCTACGTTTATAAGCATAATTTTCAAAAAATACTCTCGAAAATCTCCAGGTTTAACATCACTTACAGTACAATCACTGGTATCATAATCCATGAAAAGCCCAACCCCATAAACTCCATCCCAACCCATATAGAACAGAAGAAAACCCCTCTAAAAATCCATAACAAGCTGCGGCGCCATCTTCTCCAAATCCTCAACCTAAACCCACACATAGTCAGCAAACACCCACATCACCCTCCAGCACATCAACTAAACACAAACACAAAGAGGGGAAAAGAAACAAACCTCCAAAAACCCATCCCCAATCGAAGCCCCCTTCCCAACAGCCTCAGTCCTCTCAAACGCCGCTCTCGCCAACGCCTCCCTCACAAAAACATCCACATACTTCGCGACAACCGTATTCGCATCCTTCGCGATCTTCGTCTTCTCATTCTGGAAATGATGATGCAGTAATCTTGTCAACAACTTCGGCGGAATAACAGGGTCGTTCGTGAGCACATCGTCAGATGGCTGATCCTTGTGAACGATCTCCGCGAGGATGTAGTCCGGTTCTGGTTCTGGCTCTGGGGATGATGCGTCTGAGTGGGCGGGGGACGAAGAAGAAGCGTTGTCGTTGTCGTTGTCGCTGTCTTCTTGGGAGTCGGCGGGGCTGGGTGATGATGGTCGGGGGCGTGCGGATTTGGATGACGAGGCTTTGGCTGGTGCTTCTTTTGGTTTGGGTCCTCGTTTGGTTGTTGTCGTTGATTTTGTTGTGGCTTTGGCTTTGGGTTTGCTGGTGGCTGCTGCGGCGGTTGATGATGATGATGCTGGGGCAGCGGCAGTGGAGGAGGTTCGGCTCGGTGGTTTGAAGGGGAGTTGTCTGCGCTTTTGCGCGGGTTTTCGTTCGGGAGGCATGGTGTGTTGGGTCTTTATTTTGAGGGTCCTTACTTTTGGTGGTTCAATTGACGATAAGGTGGTCTTCGTCGCGGGGATTCGATCTTCTTGCGCGGATGCGCGGGTCCGTGACGCGTGGTCAGGTGATTTGCTATCTATACAATCTATGTGAGTTTATCATCTTTGTTAGTTCTCAGTCTTTCATGGTGAGAGAGGTAGTTGATTGGTGACTGTACTATTCCCACTTGATATGGTCTGCATCATTTGCAGCATGAGGTTGGTTCTTTGTATCGAACTACACGATTACTTGGACATGATATATATGAGCGGTAGTAATCGATCTAGTTCATCTATTGAAGTGGGAAAGAATATCCTCACTATTCAATGGCAAGCAATATCCCCCCCAATCACTGTAAAACTAACCTTCAATCTCACCAAATAATATCAATCTATGCAACAGCAATCAATAAACCCGATACAGGCATTCAGTCGTCAGCCGGCGTCACCACTGTAACATCAAGTCCCGACTTCTCTAATATCTCCCTTGAGCGAGCCCACTCCACGCCAAACAACCCAGAGTTGAACCGACACGACCAGAGATCAAGAAGTCTTCCCTCTTGGTCTTCAATGTGATCAAGTTGTTTCTTCATATCTGCAATGGCAAGCTCGGTGTTCTCCAGCACTATATCTTCAGGACTGACCATCCTTCCGAGCCCTCTTGACGTGAAAAGGCAGATTATCCAATGGCGTTTCCTGCGGTCATTCTCATAGTCTCTCTTCTGTGGTGGAATAATGAGAGCAGTTCCCTCTGGCAGTCGAGCTTTTCGTGTGCCATCGCTTGTTGTGATAGTATTGTATCTGGGCTTGGAAGAGAATTGTCGGCAGTGGGATCGATAAACCTCATATGCAGCAGGGTACTGTCAAGCTTTAGTCAGATTTGCATAGCACCCTAGGTGAAGTACTACGAGAGACGTACATTGCTTCGGAAGACTCTTGCTATTCCCTTCCCCCAGGTGCCACGGCAGTTACATGCATCTGTTTCCATTATTTAGTTACATTCATATTCGTAGATAGAGAAACATACGGATCAGCGCTGCTCCCTCTGGAGCATCGAACAGGCTACCTTGGATCTCTAAGAGACCCCCTGTATTGCTTCTTGGCTCCATACGTACTGAGTGTGCTCTCTCTCTCTCTCTCTCTCTGTGTGTGTGTGCGTGTGTGATGATATGGTCCACCGTTCTTTCGAGAGCAACAGGACGACCAAGTACCAGACAAGGATTAAAAAAAAGGGTTTAATTCACGGGCGTTATTCGAATTATCAGCGGTAGTAAAGAGGCCAATAGACAAACCAAATTCGAATTCGAAGAAGGTAGCTACCGTGAATACAATCGATCACCGCTGAAACTTCCGCACAGTTTGTTCATGATGGCAATAAGTGACCTGTTAAGGAAATACAAAAGACTCGTTGGATGGCGAAAGTGAATGATAATGACAAAGAGTGTAAGTACAACATGAACAAGAGAATTGTTTTGGGGTAATGGTCACGTCAATGTAGGCTACTACCGCGTATCCCCGGACTTTCCATTCCGTTCTGAACCTTGACGGTTAAGAAAATGACGGAAGCCCCTGGATTTTGTACCTGACTTCGACTTGACATCGCTGTCCGTAGCATCACTTGCTAGTGACTCTTTGCCCTGCGATGGCGCCTGTGTGCCACCACAAGCCCAGGAAGATGTAGTTGCAACCGAAATAGGCGCGCTCTGCGAGCTGGTGGATTTCAGTCTTCGACTCATGGTTCGTGAGACGGTTTTGAATAGACCAGAGCCGTGATCTGGGGAAGAGCGCTCCAAACGGGCAATTTCACCCATCATTGTCACTCCGTTGGTCGCGAAGTTCTCTTCTGGAATTGGAATATATAAGATGACTCCTCGGTTTGGAGCCACATGGAGGATTTCTTGCAGTGCTGCCTGGATCAGAATGGTGCTACGAAGGTTGGTTATCGGTGCGATGAGGTATGGCAGCGCAAAAACTTTCATCAGGTAGGCTGGTAGATTTACTCTCCCGAATTGGATGCACGCGTCTTCTTGAATAGTGGTCATCATAAGTGTTTCGGATTTCTGGAAGATGCGTGCCATATGGGACGAAATGTTCGAGACAAGCGACTCCATTTCTTTAACCTGCACCTGGGGTCAGAACTATACAATGATCATACTCTCATTGCTGGGGATGATGAGCAGATATAGACCATCACGCACCTTGGTGTTAACCTTTATCTCTACTACCACGACCGAATCCTGGCTGATCTGGGTTCTGGGTGAGGTCAACGGACCCCTTGTGCTAAAGGCGTCTTCGAAGTACTGGCTTTTCGTTCGAGTCATCGGCCTCTCCTCAACACTCTTCCGCTCTACATGAGCTGGCTTGACATCCAGAGGTGCACCGCCAGTCAGAGCGGAAAGCGGGGCCTCATCATCATCCTTCTCTTCTAAGAACATGGATGGCCTCACAGGTGGCCTTTCTAGTTTATTCTTCTGCTTGAGTGTTGCCTCGGAGACATCAACTGATGCAAATGCTTGAAACGTGACAGGTGACTGGAGAACAGGTACTGGTGGTGATATACTGCCAGACGACGTGTTCGACAAATCGTTACGCCGTCTTCGCAGGGAAAAGTCAATCCTGTGGCGCCTTGCGGTCATTGCGGCGTAGATGTTTATGAAGTTCGTAAAGATTGCCCGCTAATTCTTTGCTGCAGTATAAGAAGATATGTAGGACTGACTTAGATTCCTTGCGATGGTTGTTGAGGCGCTGATTAGACGGGAGATACGATACTTCTAAGGGGTGGTACTTCCTGCCATTACTGGCTCCCACCGCGGTAAATTATATCTTTGTAGATAGGCAGGTACTAGCCATCACAACCACTAGGGCTGCCCGGTACACCCAGAAGGCAGCTACGGATCAGCCTTGCCATACACGAGTGTCCACCGACCAGTTGCACGAGGCTCACGATAGAATAATCACATCCCAGTCATAACCGCCAGTCCGCATCATGGAACCGACAAACACACTCAAGCCAAAAACCCAAGATAGTCAAAGGCAGAGTTGCCACTATAGAATATCTTGTCGATCCTCCGTCTCCTGTCCCACACGATCTCTCCATCCGACCGACGTTTGATATAGAGGATCCGGTGTTGAGGAATGAATTCCTCGTCGGTTGTCTCCTTCTTCCACGCATTGAAACCAGACTCCAAGCGTCCTTCGAATCGATCTTCATACCCAATAACGTAATTGGTACCATCGAAGGCAGGGTCCCAGATAATACGGTTGATTATGTCTGTGATTGAATTAGCGACCCTGCCAGGAAACCAGTCTTGAAATATACCTGCTGCAGGACGAAGTCTATTCTCCACAGGCTCCGGCTTCTGTGATCTTAACGTGACAGAGTTATACTCCGTCTCGAAGGAAGCAGGCGTTGGTGTTCTTGATTGAGCATTCGGCTGCGGTGTCGAGCTACGCTCGTAGTCCTGCTCCAGGGCATCCTGAACTTTCTGCTGCGTCTCGGTCGATGGTTCTGAAGCCATGATCTCAATAGCTATCACACTCTTCGGTTCTGGTACTGTCCTGGAAATGTTGATTATATGCTGAGATGATTGAAGACATGTTCACAGGTTATATATTCTTGCTAAAAAATAGTGCGACACAACCAAAGGCCATCAACTGGAAGTCTACTATGTTGCTCATATTGCCAATTCCAACAATCTGTGTAAGCATGATCAAAGTATGTTGCATGGGAGGCCTGATAGATCCACCGCATCGCATCAGATCACGTACTATACTGATGCCCTGGATGCTCGCCGTAGTCTGAAACGGGAAAGTGAGTCGAATGAACGTGGCTTAGCGCACTCCTGGGATGGAAATATGACTCATGATCGAGTGTATACATTATGAGTGATGTTGAGTCAGACTTGGCAATGAACTGTTTGACCATAGGAGGAGTTTCGAGGAGAAGCAACATCGAGTAGCATCAGGTGCAAAAAATGCAAGTGTTTCCGAAGAAAGGGAATGTAATAATAGTATAATGGAGTACTCGGTAATAAACAAAAAAGGAAATTTGAGCTCCGATAGGGGGAATCGAACCCCCGGCTGCCGTGTGAGAGACGGCGATGTTAGCCACTACACCATATCGGATCTTGTTGAAGGACGGAGCTAACTTTTGCAACATAAGCCATGGCCTAAAGTTTTGATCATTAAATCCATGCTAGTTGTTGGATTGACTATCATTGAATATGGAAGAACACCCAGGCTGTAAAACGGAATGGAAAGTAAGACTGAATTCTAAGAACAAACTCCAAATGTGCGGGCGGCAGAACCCCGCGTCCTCAAGGTACACAGTCTTGGCTCCAACGGAAGTCGGGTCTCCTCACGCGGCGGACCGAAACCAACTGTTTCAACCCGCATTCGCGCGCAAACGCGTCTACCTAAGAAGTCCGAAACCTCCTTCACCCCTCAATACGAAATCTAGATCATGAACCCTGACAGGAAGATATCAGGATGAGTGATGCGACAACTTCCCTGCTCACAGAGCATTTCAGCTATACGCCCCTAGTTCGTATGGCCCTTTGGCGACGCGCTGTTGAAAACAACCCAAGCTGACTCGGCGCAGTCTCTCATAGATGACATTATCAACTCGATCAACAACTTAATCTATCAAGCTATTTCAAGTCTTGAAACAGGACTACTGGGCACGCCTCCGGAGCGCCTGGGTTTCTCGCATGCGAACAATGGCTCGACTATACCTGACACCGACGAAGACGGGAATGTTATCTACCCAGAAGCACAGCTGGAAATCGAAAATGGACTACATCAGCTAGAAACACTGCTCGAGGCGACAGTCGACAAAACTTTCGATAAATTTGAGCTTTTCGTGCTGCGCAATACGTTCAAGGTACCCGATGATCTGATGGGATGGATTCGGCTGAAGCACTACGAGGTATGTTGACCTATCAAGCTTCTAGCTCCCCTTCTCTTCTAACCAGCCTGTCTCCTGATCAGAATCTGAACTTGGAGCCCCCCTCCGATGCCCCCACTCCAGAGACGATCTCCGCCCAGCGGAAGAAGTTACACGAAACCAAGAAGTTGAATCGGGTGCTGAAACAGGAAAGCGCACGTAATGAGGCCGTAATTGCTCAGTTACGCTCCATCCTGTCGAATGCGCAGACCGCAAAACAGGAGAATGGTGTCACGCCCAACGGTCAACCAAACCTGGACTTGTCTTTCTTGACTTCTAGCCCAGCTGCACAGCAGCTACGTGTCGGTGCCGCTACCGGATCAAACACCCAACATACGCCGATCACCACGAACGCTACGTTCATATTGTCTCAGCTCCCTGCTCTACAAGCGCTGCTTAAGGAACTCCGGCCGAAATTGGCGACTCTACCACAATCCGGAGATAAACTGGATACGGAACCCAAAGCCGATGCGAGACGCGAGTACATCGAGAGCAGAGTTAGGCTGCACCTCGAAAGGGCTGGTCAGTTGGCGGTCGGTAGTGATAATACCACCGTCGTTGCCGGCCGTAAGATTGATATTGCAGAGGCACAGGCTCTTGAGGCCGTTACGGGAATGCTTACGCAAGGAGACAAGAAATCAGCTTAAAGACTTGAACCGAGAAACACTGGGATGGTTATTTGTCCCAGTTCCATCAAGGAGATTTATTTTCACTCAGTCAACCGAATTCATGCCAACCACGACACGCTCCATGTCTGCTGGTCCCGTCTGAATGGAACAACATCCACCTTGTCCGACTTCAAGATGTTCGGGATCTTCTCATCCTTCTTGTCGATGACGATGAACTCCTTCTGCTCTTCGCCAATGCCATAGAAATTGCGACCAAACTTGCTCATGAAACCCTCAATAATCTCGGGGGTGATGTCTTCCTCCTTCAAGACGCCATTCTGGCAAGCTTGCTCGAACGCGTCGATGACAAGCTGGGTGGTGTGGGGCTGAGTGAACACACCGGCTGCGATCTTATCGCCTCCTCTCTTGGACACGGCCGGGTGAGGTGCGCTGTCGGATCCGAAGAAGAACTTGGGATTACCGGAGGCTGCTGCGCGCAGAAGGGCATCACGATCCGCGGGCGTCTTGGCGACCGGCTTGCAGAAGCAGAACGGATCTCCAGCCCAGGAGTCAATGATGATCGACAGGTGATGGGCCGTGACTAGAACAGCTGTTAGTGTACGATTATCCAGCTATGGAAAGAGTCCTCACTTGTTCCGGCAACAGTAGGGCCACACTTCTTGACAGCCTCAACCGCAGCGGCGGTGGTGCAGTGCTCGAGAATGATCCTCAGCTTGGGAAATTTCTCGTGCAGCTGGAGCAGGGTTGGCAGGAAGCGCTCCTCTGCTGTCAAAACGGTCACATCACCCTTGGATGGGACTTCACCGTGCAGGTTGAGGATCATATCCTGACGCTCCATCTCAGCGAAGACGGGGTAGAACTGAGTGTAGTCGATGACGCCCGAGGAGGAGTTAGTAGTGACACCGGCCGGGTAACTCTTGACGCCAGTGATGCCGCGCTTCTTGGCATCGATGATGGTCTCCGGGGTGATAGTCTCATGGAGATACAGAGACATGAGATAGTTCACATTGGGCTCAATGGCCTGCAGACGCTGCTTGTACTCAAGCGCGCGGTCAACGGTGGTCACGGGAGGGACCAAGTTCGGCTGGTGAAAGACATTCAAGTTACTATATTGTCCCAATTGCAATGCAGCAGCTCCACCAACCACATATAAATATGGTCAGAAGATCAAAGCGGTATAGAGTGTTGAATTTACCATAACAAAAACGGTGTTGACACCACCCTGTCTAATAGTAGGAGTAACAAGCTCCATCATATCACCATCGCGAAGATGCACTTAACTCCACCAATCCCAATTAGCCAAATCGAAATAATCCTAAGCGCAATCACCCCCCTCAACAACGGATACAATTGGCACAATTTTATCCAAACAAAAATTAGTACGCACCATGAAAGTCCGCGGAAGCGGGGAGCTTCACGCCCTGCAGCTTGGAGAGAGGCATTCTTTTTCCCGAACAATAGTAGAACTTTGAGTACCGAGGTATAACCAAATTAGGTCTGAAGATTCGAGGAAACAGCATGAACCAAATACTGAATCCAATCAATGATGTATAATAATAGTCAATATCTGGGGGAAATCAACTACGTACAAGAAATTCCCATGGACCGGTTTTTCCCCGCCAATTTTTTGTCGCGGGGGAATTTGGGATCCATGACCGCCTTGCTTGTGATTGGTTGGTGTGGGGTGTGGACATGTGATGTCACGGGGGTGTCCGCGGTGGTTGACATCCTGGCGCTTACTACTCCTGGGTAAATACTAGGGAGTCTTCTACATCGCGTCGCTCCGAAAGGCTCGGGATGTGGAGGGTATCTTACAATGATACAGGCGGTTTTCAAGTTTATTGTGTGCTATGGACTAACGAACAGCCGTTACACTCGTCGTAACTTAGTGTTCTGATGACTGAGAGCTAATACTCCCTCGCTTACCGTCAGATGATTACGGCCTAGATCACTCTGGAGAAACAGACTCTACATCTACTTACATTGAGTTATTTACTTACTCTCCAGAACTACAGTTCATCCGCCTACTTACAACCAATGGCAAAAGCTACGGTTTTGTGAAAATGACGCACAAGTCATATGCTATCATTCTTAACTTGGAAGCTTGATCACGAAACACACAGTGCCTTCAATCTCTCGAGACTCACCACATCATTCTGTCATCTCCTGTGGCATCTATACCAGAGCTCTCTTAGAATTGGCCTCCAGTAGGCTGGCTACCACTGGGCTGACCACCACTAGGCTGGCTGCCACCAGACTGACCACCACCGGGAGTGGAAGAGTCGTCATCAACAGCAACACCACCGCTGGAGGTGTAGACGAAGCTGTAGTTAGGGTCATAGGTGGCAGACACATTGACAGCGACAGTCACCCATCCGAAGAGACCATCGTCCAGGCTGTCTCCGAGGTAGACGTAGTTCAAGACAGGGTCAGAGTCGGAGTTTTCAGTCTCGTCGGAGAAGACGCGGTCCTCTGCGTTGGTGGTGAGCGTGACGGTGTTGGTGTTGTAAGGGTAAGTAGCCTCCACATCGTTGATGAGATCCTGATCCCAGAAAAGCTGACCAATATGCGCAACAGTGCCGCCAGTAATGGTGTTGTTGTCAAGCACAGTCACATCCAGGTGGGCAACCATGTGATGATGGGTGGTACGGCCGGAGTAGTGGCCCGGGAAGAGAGACTCGAAGGTGACAACACCGTCAGAGTCAGTCTTCTGGATACCACGGAGGAAGGTGGTGTTCAGGTTGGAAGTGTCATCGGTGTTTCCGTTGCCGTTGGCGACAAGGCCGGAGTAGACACCGGTGGCATTGCAGTTCCAGATATCCCAGTACAGGTCGGTGATTGGCTCGCAGGTCTCAACGTTGATGAACTGGCCTTCAATCACCACGGGGACACCTGATTGGTCTTCGCGGACGTCCGACCGAATGTACTCGCCAGGGACATAGTAGGGACCAGTCTCACCCTCTGGGTTCAGAATGCAGGTGCTGGTATTGGCAAAGACCTCGCTGGCGGAGGAGTCGGGTGTGATATCAGAACCGGTCACAAGATGGGACTTGTTGAGGACCGAGTCAGTATCTCGCCCAGCAAGGCGCCTCCGGTGGAGGTCCACCAAGGCCCTACGGCGAGCCTCGGCACGAGCATTAAGACCACTGCGCTCGAACTTGGAAGCACAATTCTCCAAGCCACGACGCATGTTGGCTTTGAAATCCAGGAGGTCAGAGTTGGCGCGCTTCTCTTGGTGGCCGGGATGGGCAGTGGCAAGAACTGCACATCCTACCGCGGCCAACTTGATAACGCTCTGGACATGCATTTTGAGGGGGCTTAAAAGATGATGTTCAAAAGGTCTGGACAAGGAACAGGCGATATTTGCAGGGGGTGGAAGCTAGAGAGGCCTTGAAGAGACTGCTTTCTGCTGGATGTCTCCCTCATATTCCTCCCGGATGAAGGGCCTTTATATGCTGCTCCCTCCATCATGGGCGTCGATATCAAAGTGCGCGTTGCCGATGTACTGTGCAGTCTATACCAATCTGGGCGCGGACGATTTTGCCCTTGCGCGGAGTCTGTTCCCTTGCCGAAGCGATACCAATCTCCAAAGACAAGTAACTGTCGTCAGCAGTGGGTATAATCAATGACGAGTGTGTACTAATCCCTGCTTGCTCTATCCAATGTTGCCGGCCAAAAATGAGCGAAAGCGTGCTCAAGTGATGAATCTACTTGCCAGGAAGGAAGATGACGAATCCCTCCCACCGGCCAAGACCATCGGCCGCGGGGACGCTGCGATGAAGCTCGCCCGCCAAGACCGCCTAATGATGTCCCTCAAGAGACCAACACCCCAGACGCCGCGTGTCATTACTATCCAGAAGCCACTGATTGGCTTGGCTTTGAGGAAAACTGCGATGATCTGCACATCAGGGCTTAATATTCATCCGGTATCAATCAGCACAAATGCGATTCGCGACAAATTGGTGGCTTTAGCTCGTGGTCCTGGCCCAGGCGTGCTGAGTACCTACGGAGCAATACCCGTAGGCTTGGCGAAGCCAAGGCCTGTTTACAGCCCTAGGTGCAGACTGGCTGTGAGTCGCGCTGTCTGGTAGGAATTTCGGGCCCCAAGGACCCCATGATCCCGCTGCAATTATCCCGCTGCCCACTCTCAGAGAAGTGTGCGTGTTTCAATTATATGGTGGCTTGTGGGGACCCCAGATGAGTTTTCCACAGAGACCGGAAGGATACTTGAAATCGCTTGTTCTCGGATGGTCGGCTTCACTTCGCCGTAGGCTGAAAGCTAAGACGAGACATGTGCTGGCTGATTATGCCGAAGGGAAGATTGCAGTGCTGATCGCTCGCCTAGTCAAGAGCTGTGCAATCAAGCTTCGCCTTGGAACAGTCGTAGGCGTTATTGTAGGGGGTGGGACATGAAGTCTATGACCCATTCATAGTCTGCATACAGGTCCCGTGCCACGGCTTCATCGCGCTTCTTTTGGGTGATGATCGACACCTATATAACAAATACACGTCTCTGAGGTGGATGGCATCTGCCTCATTTGATCCCGACCATTGTGGATGCTCTCTAGTGATGGGAAAATATACAAGCTGCATACCCAAGAAAGCTGGACAAACAGACGGTGCGGAGAATGTCCCATTAGGGCAATTCTCAGAGCGGAGTCTAGACCTCCAACAGACCAACAGGAACAACAGAATGTGGAGAACATGCAGAGAAATCTCCGCGCATGAGCAAATGATGTTATTGAGCCTGATGTGTAGTCGAGTCTGGGGATTGAGTTGCGTGCACTCTGAGAGATCGAGGCATAGCAATATCCCAGCAAGGCATGCGCTTCCAGAGAGAATACATTGCCCCAACGGGCCTCTCGCATTGGTGGAATCATCAAAGCCACAGGATGCAGTGACGGCAACCGATCCACGTGAAAGCTGCAGTCCTTTGACCTGGATTAATTTTATGTTCAACCCTCCCATACTAGAAGGGGCGCAGGCCCCAACTTTCAACTCATCCTCGAGGATAGAACGAGTGGTGCAGGAATGTACCATCGATAGGACTGGGAGCTATCATGCTCATCAGCAGATGTCTCCTTTTGATCCATGATGTTCGAAACAAATGAGTGGCGTTTCAAACCGGGCTTATTCACACCAATAGAACTGGAAGCGACGGACGTGTTACACAGAAGCCGAGTGCCTTTGTCCCAGTCCAGATCATCCATTCGCGCTGCTCGATGCACCGACCTCTTCTAAGCGCCGAAGGAGACAAGGCTGCATCAAGTCAGTCTGAAGGATTCCTGCGTCTTCGCGCTCATGCAGGAGACAGCAAATAGGCGCGGCGCATTTCCCGTGGGCGGCTATTAGGCTTTCATGGCTGAAGGGCTCTCGTGAAAATGTTTCACCTATTCGCGCTTTGTGTGAGACCATTCTTATTTTTGGCAGCTGAAGAATGCTGCAGAAGTTCAGATGGGCTATTCATTGCTTGCATAAGTAGTTGATATCTGCAGGTTTTCCTGTCAGGGTCTTTTCTATCTTGTCTGTACACTACCTTCCTTACCGTCTATAGCTTCGATTCGTTCCACTCCTTCTCCCATAGATACCCTTCTCTCTTTCAATTCAACCTCTTATTCAGCCTTCTGGCAAGGCTCTTTCTTCTCTACACTCCTCCACCTCTCACAACCCACCCCATAAAAAAACAAAAGAAAAAGATAAAAAAAAATATACACCATGGACCGCAGCCTCTCCACCGAATCCACCATAACCACCACCATAACCTCAACCGCCTCCATCGAAGAAGAATCCAAATTCCTCACCCGCACCCAACACCTCCGACACACGCGCCTAGCCCTCGCCATCCTGACCTTCCTAACCACCATCCCAACAATCGCCTGCGAAGCCATCGCCCTCCACCACTACCGCCAAACCTCCCCATACGCACGAGTCTGGCTCAATCTCTGGCCTTTGAACCTAGATCTCAGACCCACCCTTGCCCTACTCGCCTGCGGCTGCGTGATAGCATTCCAGAACTTGCTTTACATCGTTACTGCCGTTATTCCTTCCGTGAGTTCCTATACACCAACTTCCATTATCGAAAATGTGATACTGATAATGAACTATAGCCCCGCCCCCACATCCGCCTCCTCAACCTCCTCGCCGCAGTAACCGCCCTCTCGGGCTTCATCGCCGCGCTCGTGGGCCTCATATTCGTGATCTATCAGCCTGGAGCGAAGCACCCGAGCGGGTTTAGTGAGATGGAGACGCTGCATTCGTGGACGTGTAAGTGGGGGGTTGTGAGGAATGGATATGATTCTGTGAGTGGGAATAGCACTATTAGTGCTAGTACGAGCGGTAGTTATAATGCCACGGTTGGGGGTGATGTTACAGCTCCGGTGCATTTCAAGCGGGATTGTGATGTCACAAGCGCTGGGTTTGTATTGCTTTGTGTGTTGCTGGGGTTGGAGGTTGTTATGGGGGTCGTGGTTGGTGTAGGGGTTTGGGTTGAGAGGAAGGTTGGCGGGTTGAGGGGGAGGATTGGTGGGGGGCTGGAGGGTACGGGACGTGGAGTTGGGGGAGGGGGAGGGGTGAAGGGGGAGAGTAAGGTTTCTGTGGGGGGCGTGGAGAAGTATCCTGGGACTTGATTGAGGTGATGAGGTGGGCTGGGTTGGGATGGTTGAAGGGGGTTAGGATGTTGGTGTTGGTGGATGTGTTGTGGGAGTAATAGGTAAATTGATATAGTCATGATAGGGTATGCACTACATCCATGAATGTAATGTAAGGCTGGGGCGTTACAGCTTCGCTCCTCCCTTTCCTTTGCTACTGTCCATCCTCACTCCCTCGTCGTCCTGTTCTGCGACTTCTAGCACGGGCATCTCTTTCGGCATCATGCGTCTTGGATTGCTTCCGGAGATGACGGAGTACTTGGAGAAGTCGGTCACCCCGCAGTAATCACGCAGGAAGTCCTCATCGAGAGCTAGAAGTCCGTTCACGACGTGTGCTGGGGTGTTTAAGATCCCGAGAATTGCGTCAGAGAAGATTGTCTGCGTTTGTTAGTATCTATCACAAAGGAACGTATATGATAATAGGAACCTACCGGCTTTCTCAAATCAGCCTTTCGCGAATCGCCATCATTCGCAGGGTTCATCTCCGTTGCTGCGCTTTCAACAGCCTATTCATAGCACCGTTAGCCAGCCACAGCTCAAAGCAGGGTAGTCAACATACCGTAGCAGGCCAAATACTGGTAATAGCCATATCCGACTTGCCCTCTCTCACCCAATCCATAGCCAAGCCACGAGTAAGCACACTCATCCCGACCTTGCCTGTGTATTGTCAGCACTGCCCAGAACCTTATTTCCTAACTCAAAGACTCACCCATAGCATAAGCCGTCTTTCCCCTGAAAAACCTTGAATAAATCGGCGGCGAGACCACCACAATTCTCCCCTTCCACCCATTCTTCTCAAATACCGGCAACGCCGCCATGATTGTCGCATACAGCCCCTCCGGATTGACACGCTGCATCAGCTGGAACCTCTTGAGAGGCGTATTGGCAACAGACGACCACCATATCGCACCCGAGTTGTAGACCAGAACATCCAGCCGACCACCGCTAATCCGTACAGTCTCGTTCACCAGGTTATCGATTTGAGTGGGGTCGCGCACATCGACTTGGACGGGGTGGGCGGTGCCGCCGGCGAGGGTGATTTCGCGGGCGACGGTGTGGATGGTGGAGGCGGGGGAGTTAGGGTCTGGTGGGAAGGGTGCTGTGGGATCTGGCGAGGTGGCTGACTTGGCGGCTATTATTACTGTATGAAGTGTTCTTTGTTAGCGAAGATACTTGAGAAGAATGTGTCTGGCATACCGGTGTATCCGTTCTTCGCAAGGTCGATAGCAATCTGGCGGCCAATGCCTCGAGAGGCGCCCACGACTAGGGCGACGGGGTTGGGAGACTGAGTAGTCATGATGACAGTCAATTGAATAAACCACGCTTTGTGTATTATGAATAGCTAGATATTAATTACAGGCACATCGAGATGCCGTGGGTTGATATAGAGGTCCGGGTTCGGTCATCCTCGGTAGATGGAGTGATTAGTAGTCATTTGGCCGAGCGCGCGGCTCGGCCCGTTGACAGAGGGTTTAGTATGGAGATGAGGGGTTCATGGGACAGCTTTATGCCCTGTCGTTTATTGAAGGCATGAGTGACTCTGACACAATGTGTAAGTTAGTTTTGTTGTTGAATTGCTGGAAGGTGTTGTAGAAGGCCATCCATAGTTTCTCCTTATCGCAGCAACCTCGGCGTTATCACTGCATCTCCATCGCCGCATCTTGGCTCCGATTGGCTGTATTCATTACATAATCAACCATCGTATCCTCCACCGCCCTGGCAGAATCTCGCGTCTTTCGCAGCGTTTCACTTTTCCACTTCAGCAACAGACATATACATCACAGTTATCTATCAGAATGCCACCAGATATGGGTTCTCCCGCCGCAGAGCTTGACCTGGATGACGAGCAGTATGACTCCGCCGAAGACGAGGACTTTCAGCTCGACGCAGCCCAAGATGACGCCGACTCGGGCATGTCCGATTCCGACGAAGAGGAGGCTGTCGACGAGACAGCGCCCAAGCGACGAAAGAAGGATGCTAAGGATGCTCAAGCAGCTGGTGATGACGACGAACTGGCGTCTGGGGATGAGGCGATGATTCAGAAGGCAAAGAATAAGAAGAGGAAGAAGGGAGATGAGGACGTGGATGTGGATCTTGATGATGACGAGGAAGGGGGAACAGGAGGTTTCGTGCGGACGCGCGCGATGAAGATGCGAATGTACGTGGTTATCTATGTGTCTGACAGGCTATCAGATTTGTGATTATACTGACACGATACTGCTACAGTGGAGAAGAGCGCAAACCGCTCGCGAAGATCGACGGCGCTACGGTTGATGTGGATGCGTTATGGGCGAAGATGAACGCTCCAGACTCGGGAGTAGATGCTTCAGCACAGGATGAGAGCAAAGATGCTACGCCTGCGGCTGGACAGAACGACGGAGAAGCGGCAGGAGGTGACGATGCGACTCCTTCGGCACAGGAACCCCAGACGAACTATACTGAAGAAATGGTGAAGATCAAGCGCACATACAAGTTTGCCGGAGAGATGATTACGGAAGAGAAAATTGTGCCGAAGGATTCAGCGGAGGCTAAGCTATTCCTGGCGGGCGAGAAGGACGCGGAGACCGTGACTGCTGCAGATGTCGACCATGCCGCGAACGCCAAAGACGCCCTCAAACTGCGCAGACCCCTTCGACGACCCTCCCGCTTCGACCCGAATCCGACCGGCACGATCAAGAAGAGCTGGGAGAAACAGCCCGTTACGGAGGCGACGGCTGGGCAGGAAAACGCCCGGGGACCGAAGATCAACACGGTCGAGAAATCGCGTCTGGACTGGGCTGCGTACGTGGACCAGGCTGGAATCAAGGACGAGCTCAACGTGCACAGCAAAGCGAAGGAGGGATTCCTGGGTCGCATGGATTTCTTGGACCGTGTGGGGGCCAAGATAGACGAGGAGAGAAGAAATGCTCGTCTGAAGGGGCTTTGAACTGCTTCAGTTTCAACTTCCTCTTTTCCTTTGGCTTCCCGACTGCCTCTCGGCCCTGGCATATACCCTGTCCGAATCTCCTCCCATGCAGAGGCGGAGCAATGCTAGAATCTTCAGCATTGGACCCACTGTCCCAGGCCACGACTTCTTCAAAAGGGTACGTATCCCGGTCTGCAGGTCTGGCTGGCTACATGCCACAATCCGCACGGAAGACCGATGCGGTGTATATTAGCTATCATCCATAGCTGGAGGTAGTGCCAGACACGTGCCTCCGCCTCGATCCACCGGGCTCAGCTTATCTCCGCACCGGACGGTTCGCTTACGCGGATGGATGCTGCTGGTTGGATGGGCGTATATTGCCTATGCATCGCACTAGCATGACTGGCGTAAGTGCCAGCCAGGGCGATGTTACGACTTATGACATGTGAATTTGGAGATGTACGATATTGTTAGGATGGTAATCTTTCTTGATCCAATAGAATGATATTGGTTGCACACGCTGTATAGCTAGCTACATAGTACTTTAACTGATCCCTTCATCTAATAAAAGGAGTAAGGGAGAAAATGAAACATCTCATGAGATTGTCCTCCAGTGGAGCTTCGAATATACCATTTGAAGCTCTTCAAATCGATACTCTGCTAACATCCGTCGGAACTTGGTAGTTTCCTGCGTAGTCAGCTGTACTCGAGGAGAATGTGTGATCTTAATAATTCCCCATATTCCGAGTATCTACTTTATCAGTGAGTGTGATTTTATCAGCACCATGCAACCATTTGAAAATTCATCCCACTACGCAGGATTGCCTCCTTGTACCTTTACCAGCTCCGGTTAGTACGGCACTGATGTACACTTCTTCACCGCGGAAGTAAACCCACACTATACCCCTTCACCCCTAGAGTAAGACCTGGTCGCGCAGACATTTCAGCATAAGTTGCAACAATAGTGAGACTTTCACCTCGATCTGGTATGCCCAATGCTCATTTTCTTCTCATGGATGTGACTATGGCATCTCTAGCATGTTTTCACAACAGTCTAAAGCTCGATAGTCGTATCATCAGCACCGCTGATAACTACACCAGCATCCTTCTTGTCCATACAGTTTTCCGCATAGAACTTTTATAGTCACTTTGGCACATATCAGCACTAAAAATTCGCTCAATGCCCGGATAAATGCTGCAGTTAGCTGCAGATGTGAAATGTCTCAACGGCTCTGGGAACGTGTATAGCTGGTTGCAGTGGCAAGCCGAAGACAAGAGCAACCAGGAAGGCAGACAGACTTTCGCGTAGGAATTGTTGACAAACGCCGTGCCGAGGATCTTCTATCGCTGTTCTTGAATTTCTTTCTTTCTGATGTCCCTGGTATTTGTAAACTTGAATTTCGATCTTCTCAGCATAAGTGAAGATAGTTCTTCTTGATCTGTAGATATCTGATTATGCACCATAGACATATGAAGACTACATTGAGTCTGTCCAAGGCTAGATTAAAATGTGCAGATAACTGCCACATATCCATTTCTTTTCTAGAATCATCATCATTTTTGTAGCTTGTTTCTGCTTACCAACACCTTTCCCAGCTCGTCGCAGTCGACTTAAACTTTTGGGCATACTTGGACTTATACCAATCGGATACAGCGGATAGCCCGTGTCTTTTTTTCCAATGCGTTATAGGTTGTGAGAACCACGGAGTATCGACTGTCACTTTCCGGAGTAAACATTCGGTGGTCCTTTAGTTAGGCGATCATGGATATACAGGGAATTGCTTCTCTGGAGCCGATTATCGCCATATTAGATGCACATAAATCTGAGGGACTTCCTCATGTCGTCGCAGAGGTGGTCGATGACTTAATGATACCTTCGATCATCCTGCAATGGTCATGTAGTCCACGTAGGTTTAAGCCCATCACAGCATTTCCATGATATCTCAACAACAAGCATATTTGTAAGAGGAGTGATGGCTTATATCTTCCCACAATGTGATAGGAAAAAGAATGTCTGCTGTACGATCCAGGTTCCTTTATCAGTTGGTTTTGTCCATGTCTTTCATAAGCCTCTCCAGGCCAACCCCCAGAAACTGTGCATTGGCATTAGCTGCGAGAAAGAACACCTAGGCCAGATTATCTCTCTGTCATTCTCTTCAGTAACTATTACCAAGCTTGTCGCTGATAGGACTTGTTCCGTCAAACTTTCTCAAATCCATGGGGTGAAAGGAAAGAAGAGGATTTGATCTCGTGTTTGTACCTGCAGCGCTACTCTACTCATTATAGCGACGCTTGACCGTATGGAAGTCGCGTGGGTCTCTGTATGCGGACATAACGAGCAATGAACTTTCCCACCAGAGCATATTAAAATAATGCCTAGTTACCATATCGCGCTGATAATGACGAAGTTCCAAAAGCTGTCGGGAGGCGGCGGCAGCGCTTTGGTTCGGCAATGTTATCGCCAGCTCTCATTTGACAAGTACGGCCAGTCAGAACAAGCAAAGAAGAAGAGACGTACCAGATAGACAATCACAGCGACAACAGAAAACTGTGGAAGGATGACTAGCTTCTTCAGTGTTTCAGTATCTTTCTCAGTCCTGAAATTGCTAATAAGCATCCAAAGATATTATCAGCGTGTCGAACCTTCCAGCAACATATTAATATCATTAGCCCACTGGCTGTCTTCTGGAGGAGGAATAATCCCTATATCCCTTATAATTAGTGCAGTTGTGGTGATATTCTCAAAGGTGATATTATTCTGCTTTGTATATCAGATGAGACCAGGAAATGCAGCACAGACACGAACTGCACGAGTCATACTCGCGAGTTTGGCTTTTAATACTGCTTTATTTCTGACTTCTAAGGCATCCTTCTTGAACAGCTGCATGCGCTCCTTCCGGAGCTCTCCCAGTAACTGGTAATCTGGCTCTTCGAGCGGGCTGTCGACGTCCTTGATATGCTTCAATGGGAGTTTCAGGCATGGTTGCCCGAACCATATTCGCGGTGCATTTAATGAAGTTGGTTGCTTGGAAGAAGTCACAGAGCCTGTCCAAAGGCAAATAAAAAATATCTACCTAGATTTTATAGAAGCCGTCTTAGACTGCTTCCTGAGCTCTCCAAGGTACTCATGGTTTAGGTATACTGTGGCCGGGTAATAGTCCACTCCAGTATCTCTGTGAGCTCCAAAAATAATTAAATATTATAAGGAGAGAAGGGGCAGGGAATAGCAGATAAAAACCAATTTACGGGTTACAGCATGCCTTCAACTTGTCGAGAATACAGACAATGGGGCTGCTGTCACTAAAGGAAAGGTAGCACTCGTCGCAGAATGTCCGCGCGATGGGGATATTATGGATGGTGATTCTTTGTAGCTGACCTTTCAGCCTGGTCTTGGACAAACTATGCCGCAGATGGACCTCGCAATTTTCGAATATCAGTAAGCTGGCGAGTATGATCAGCAGCTCCAGCTGCAGGTCACGCGTATTTATCTCTCACTCCTTCTTGTCAGCTAGGGTGATCTTGCCAGACTGCCAGATAATACTTAGCTCAAGCCAGGTCTTTAGATGATGCTTAGGCAGGATAAAGGCTTCATGATGATTTCCATCCTTCCATTTGTCAAACTTCTTGTCAAACTTCTGAGTATCCATACTCTTGAAGATAGACCTGTGACACATGACAAATTCCATTTGTTTAATCAGAGCATAAGTGGGATCCACGAACTTTCCCCATTCGCTTACCCAATTACCAAGGAGTGCCTTATCAACAAAGATATAGATCACGCCTGGCTGGAGTTTTGCAAGCATGTGGTTGGGAGCAGTGGGGCGACAAAACGCCTCTTTGATGAGTGGTCGTCTCTTTATAGACTAACCAGGTGGCCCCATACAATTGGTACAGGTAGAGACTCAGTCTTTCTGGATTCCTGCAATGGGGATTTTGCACTGCGGGTTCAGAGTTATCGCATGAAAGGCCATCATTGAAGTAGTTTATGCTTTCTGATGATTAGCCAGGGGCATATAGATAAACCAGGTAGTTGACAGGTATACCTGCTCCGAGAGTTTGTTCCACCCCCATCATTCAGTGATACTTTCGTCTGGTGGTTCTCCCTGGTTCGGCTGTAAAAGGCTTTTACAGCTTTCTTGCCCTCCAGAGCCGGGCGAACGCAGGACAGACAGGCAGCCCTCCACGTTAATAAACCCCAGCCATGACGATCATAAGATTAGCTTTCTCAGCCGGTCCATGTGCCAATGGGCATGGTTGGGTTTCTCCTTGTCGATATACAGTAATGCTTGACTCAGCATTATGCAGCACGGAGCCTTAGACAATCTGTAACTGGTTCCATGACAGAACTAATAAGAGTGTCAGGAGTAAAATCTCTATGCTTTTTCTCGTGCCGGGGCAGGGGAGATTTTATCAAAAAGGACTCGATATCTTCATGGTATGTGAATCTGACGACCGTTCCCAGTCTCGAGCGTTTTTTCTTCTTCGAGGCGAAGCAACATATATGGCGAGACGTATTTGTATGTCATGCACTTGGTGGTACATGCTTGTTCAGAGATCCCAGAGGGCCATGACATCTGTTTTGCAATCGTCAAAGCCTCGATATGTTGGGGCAGTATAAGGTTGTCATAGCAAGTGTCGCTGAATCGGGCAGAGTGTACGTCAAGGACATGCCTAGGTAGTATTTCCCTTGTCTAGTGAATTAGTAACAAGAATATCATATCCAGCCGCGGATTCCTTTTTTTGTCCGCTGCGTATCCCGCCACGACCAGCATTCTTGTGAGCCGGACCCAATACTTCAACCCTAAAGAAAGCTGGTGAGGGTCTCGCGGCGAACCAGACCAAGGTCGTTCTATACACTTATAGTCAGCACGAGGTGATTTATTGGGAGAGAAAATACTTACGCAACGCTTTTGTCACCAATGTGTACTTTCCCACGAATTGGTCTGTATTGCTTTAACCAGCTATGCTTTTGTGACCGGTCATCTACCGCCTCAGCCATAAGAATTGAGTTTCCAGGTGGGTAGGCTGTTGATATTAAGGAACAGTGATGGCTTTTTGCCCTAAAAAAGGATATACATATCGATGTAATCAAGACGACGATAACATCAGCCTCCGACCCCTGGGACGCATCCACGGTTTGAATCCTAGGGCGGGGCCGAAGCTCAGAGAACCTCTGGTCCCAAAGCCGGTCCACCAGGGCGACTTGGGCTCTGTAGGGGGACATAATGAGAATGCTCCCGGTACGTCTGTTCAGAAGCTGTTGGGCCAGGCAGATCCAAAGCTCGGCTTCCTGCTCGTGGTACAGGAATCCCGAGGGATCCTTGCGCGTATCCCCTTCACTATGGGGGAGATGGAGGAAATGGGAGAGCCCGCGCAGAGTCCATGTCTTATTCCCCAGGCGGACTGTCAACGGATTCGCCGAGGTGATTTGCATGTCTCTACTCGGCTGACTCCGGAAGGTATCAACCTTGCCCTCGTAGTAGGCTACCGAGGTCGCAGATGTTCAAGGGCCTGCGGTTTCCTAGAGGTTAAGGACATTAATCCGATACCTCCCGCGAGCTAGGATTAACAAACGAGAAGTTTCTCCCTGGCAAAGAGAACTCATAGGCGTCACGTCATGGCATGTAAATTGTCGCAGAGGGCTACAGAATTGTATTGTCGAAAAAAAAAAAAAAAAAAAAAAAGGATTGATTCCATAATCCAGCGAAGTACCCAGTTGTCTGAACATCAGGATAGTAGATAATCCGACAACAACAGACAGCATTTATCGCAAAACACACCGTCTCTAGTAGAATCCCTAGTTTCTCATAATTCTGAACATCCGTTCCATATACACTGTGAGCCGGGGTCCCAATCACAAAGCTTTATGTGGCACTATTCGGCTGAGATTGGTGCTTTGTACGAAGTATATGAGCTGGTTCGTATTGCTCCAACCAATAACTCTTGATCTCTGAAACAGCTATCCCGCTTTCAAGCCAGTGTTGAGTTTTGCAGCTATTCGGAATGAAAATAATGCCAAACTGGGTCTTACGCAAGCCACCCCAACGGTCTTCAATGATGTTTTCCATCGCAAGCTGGACCATATCGCTCCGAACAACCCATCAGTCCTGTGTGTGACCGAGTGCGTAACGCAAGAGAAGCTGTTACGTATCTTGATATAGGGGAGATATGTTCTTGTAGCTTTGTGTCGTACATATAGTACCATTTCCGATATCTTTCCCATTGGAGCCACCTATTCCTTTGAGTTCGACGAGTGTATATTATTTGGTCAATGGCGGTAGAGCTCTCGGACCAAATCATCACATCCCGCTTGCTCTTGTCCGTTTCGTTACTCGGTGCCGTTAGTCTCTTTCGAGGAGTGAGTGGTAAAGGCAGGCTATGCGACCAGGATGATGGTGGCAGAAGACGTGGCACTGTCCGACTGCATCCAGTTTTCTGCGTAGGTAGATAGAGGACCTAGGTAGTAGTGGAAGGCGGCAGCAATCAGGAGACTTGACATTGGCCGGATATACCTCTGTGGAAGTAGTAGCTCCTCTCTTCATTGTCTGGAATCAGAGTTCGATTTCAATTTAGGGACGTGTTTACCGTATCGCGCAATCCATCGGTACATTGGTCTTAGCTAGTAGGAGCAAAGCTTGCTTTGAAGGATGAATAATCCAGCAGATCCTTGTTGATGATGCCTTGGACCGAGGATAGAATCTGAAGCTTGGGGACTGTTCGTATATGTCTGAAGTCAGTCTGTATGGATTAATTGCTCTTGTAGCCTCTTGGTGAAGACATTCCGGGTTGATTCGGTCTACTGTCGAGAGATGCTTCGGAGTGGCGAATTGATTAGGGATATTATGTGCCCTCGAGACGGAGAGCCACATTTTTGGGAATTGCTATGTTGTAGTTAGGGTATGTAGTTGTAGTAGTTGTAGGAGTAGCAGTAATAGTAGAATTCATAGACCCGATGTAGCTGGCCTTTACTATTTGGGGTATGTAGTATGCGAGTTGCTTCTTATTTCATTGCCCCTATCTGCTTGGAATGCGATATCCATGGGCAGTGATAATGGCTGTGCTGTATATTACAGAGATTGATCGAAGCATCTTGAGTGGTCTTCTATCATACATATTAAGATTTGAGAGTTGGGATTCATTAAAAATGTAAGTGTTTGCTCATGTTATGATGAGATAAACAAAACTAGATTGCTGGGTTGATCAAAGCAGATTTGGTCTGTTTTTTGTATTGTGGTAGGGAAGATGTAGGAAGATCAATAGGGGGACTGGAGAGGCTTTATATAGTTGAACCATACAGGGAATTTACTAGATGTACAGGGAATTGTGCAATTCCATTTGAAAACATTGAAGTTGATAACTTCAAGTATACATGCAATGAATGATTGCGGCGGATGTTCTGCTAAGAATCATTCCCTCGCGGGCTACCTACTATGTGCGATAATCTCACAATTCACAACTTTTTCATAATTCACACCTTACAGCATACTTCATTTGTTCCAAGTGAAGAAGCTAGATCGAGCGAGCAACTCAATCTAGATCTTCTTGCTGGAGCTGGACTTGGGCGGGTACTTGATGCCAGAGTCCCTGCAGTTGGAGTCCTCGACTGGTACAATAAATCAGTTTATGTCTGACATTCCAATTGTATATAACTTACGTCTCTCAGAAGCAACGTAGGTGCCGCCGATGGCGCTACCCTTGACGTTGAAGTAGTAGTAGAGCTGGGACAGAGCACCGTCCTCACACCCAACATACGGGGGGTAGCCATCGTGGATCGCGGCGAGAGCATCCTCAATGTCGCTCAGCTTGTAGGTGGCATCCTCAGAGGGAGTAATTCCGGCGTCGGAGAGAGCCTGCTGCTGTCAGTATCTATATAAAACACAGGAAGTTGTTTGCATACGGTGTAGGAATCCAAGGTCTTGAAGAGGTCAACGACCTGCTGGAAAAAGTCACCAACTTCCTCCTGAGCGTAGTAATCGGTGTAGCAGCTGGGATCGATGGTGTTGATGCAGGTTCCTAGAAAGTCAATATGCCAGTTCCGACAATCAAATTGATCAGACATACCGTGTTTGTTCCATTCGTGCTCCCAGAAACTCTCATCCTCATCAGCACCCTCGTAGTCGGGCCAGTATTCTTTCATGTAGGACAGGAGCTCGGTGCGATTTTGCGCTTCGAGGATGGAAGTGATGTTGCTGTACTCGCGAGAGTCATCGCAGTACTCCTGGTAGGTGCCATCGCAGTTATCAGGCCTAGCAAGTTCCTTAGCGATGATACAGGAATACGATGTGTCAGACCTACCAGAGTCCGTGGATGGTCCAAGAGTCGCTCGGGCCATCGGAAGGGTCGTAGTCCCAGAATTGAGTCTGGAGAAGGGAGCCTCCAGGAGAGTTGAAGCAGCAGGAAGCTTCGTTGTCGGTCTGGCAGCTCAGAGGGCTGTCAGAAGAGCAAGTGTCAATGGTAGCCAGCGCACCAGAGCTGAGCTGCATTGCGCCCAGGGCGAGCATGCCCACAGAAGGAAGGAAAGACATTATGCGTAATAACCGATCGTTAACTTCGTGAGGGAGAACTCAATGGCTGAATGACAATCGGGAAAGCCGGGTGCAATTGACCCAATTTATACCTTAGTAGCGTGTAACGCCAGTTACTTGCCCATACTCCGCGTCGGTTGTCCGACTAGCGACCAGGCCACCGCATGTGGGTAGCGGGGAAATCAGCCACCGAAAGTTGAAGATAGCACATGCCCGGATAAGGACGAGCTGATTTGCCGCAATCGATCAGAAAAGCAGCCTTAGGATAGCGGAGGACGCCGTGAAGACCCGCACCTCCGCTGACGATGAGCTGCCGAATTGGCCAATTGACCGGTGTAGCGGTGGTCTGCAGTCGGTCTGGAGGATGAGCCGTCGGGGCGCCATCGGAGGTTAGGCCGAAGAGTGGGTAGAGCGAGCAGACCAGCCAAATTAACCAAGAGCGAGGCAATCAGCTCTCAAGCTGCGTATCAGAAGTTGTTCTTGCTTTTGAGCTGAGAAGAAATTTGATTCGCTCTGGGCGGAGTGATCTGCAGGACCGGAAGATGGATTAATTTCAGGAACCGGGCAACCCCGTCAGCAACGGGCGAATGGCATCGCCAGAGCTGGTGTTGGCTGATGTTGACGACAAGGATTAGAGGCAAGCCAACTCATGAAGAAAAGGATGGATGAATGAGAAACAGGCAAGAATGTCCGACCTGTTCCTGCAGCAGCCTATTATCCGACACAAGCCGGGTGTAAAGGGAGAGGGATAGTATAGGCAGTGATGCTTGTGGCTCGAGGTTCGTGTCACCAGCAATTTCGCATTCTTTCAGCGACAAGTACTAAGCGATAGCATCCCAGTCGGTTATTTTAGCACTTGATTAAAGATATTATCGTTGAAGGCGAAGGATGTCTTAGCTCATGCTATCTACTCCGTAGTTAGTCTAACGAGCACTGATGACTTGACAGTGGACAAGATAACGCAAAGTGCGTATCTCTATCACGAATGCAATCTCGTACGACTGCCAGTGCATACCCTCAATCACTTCATAATAAGCAGTCCTCAATTCAAAAACTCAATGCTGAGGTCAAATAACAATGAAAGACAAACGAAGAGAGATAACCGCTCATACCGACAAGCAAAGACAAACTTGTAGCCTGAGGTATCAACACCATACCCGATTAGGTCAACATCGCGCCCTTTTCCCAATTGGGATTGACATCCAGGATATGACTGAGTCAAGAGACTGAGGCAACTATAGTTATCAGCGTTCTTTCTTATGGAAAATCAAATGTTCACTCAAACCTATAAACATACTACCTACTACGCACAACCCAAGCATCCACTCCAGCCAGCTCGCAGGGATAAGAACATCGTGAAAAAGAAGAACCACTAAACTCCATCCAACCCACCCCGCAAAATCCTTTCAACCAACCAACCAACCCCCAAAGAACCATCTCCAATTATCTACATCTACATCTATACTCAAGGAAAAAAAAAGGATCAAAATGCCCCCAACCTACCAAATAATCTCCGCCACAACCCCCCACCACCTCCTCGCCGCCCGCACCCTCTTCACAGCCTACGCCGCCTGGCTAAACATCGACCTAACATTCCAAAACTTCCAGGCGGAGCTATCCTCTCTCCCCGGGAAATACAGTCCCCAGGAAGGCGGTGACCTTCTCCTCGCATACAGCAGCAGCGCAGACACCTCTTCCTCTCCGCTGGGCTGCGTGGCTCTCCGTCCGCTCCCAGTTAAAGACGATGAGCGGCAGCAACTCTGCGAGGTCAAGCGGCTGTATGTTGCACCTGAAGCGCGGAAGATGGGACTGGGGCGGGCGTTAGTGAGTGCAATTGTGACGAGGGCGAGGGAATTAGGGTATCGGGGGATGAGACTCGATACGTTGCGGAGTATGGAAGGGCCGATTCGCCTGTATCGGAGTTTGGGGTTCGTGGAGGTTGGGCCGTATTATGAGACGCCTTTGGTGGAGGAGACGGTGTTTTTGGGGTTGGATTTTGCGGAGGTGTAGGTTTCTTCTACTTACTGTATAAGTTACTGGGTTCTGGTTTCTTTTGCATGTCTGGTTTGAGCAAGTGGGAAAAAGAAGGTTGGGGTATAGACTTGATTAAAGACAGAGATTATTCATGTATATGTATATTAAGTTCATTTTATTCAATACTAGACATAACTAAACAAACAATAGAAGCATGTCTCTAACTCAGACTGTTGAGCTTGATAATTTTTTGTTGCACTCAGCGCAGATCATCTGCATCATGCCAAAAAAGAAGGAAAGTCATCATAGTAGAAGAGACAATGCGAGTAAAATCAGAAAAAAGATAACCGGATAGATTTCCAAGTTTTGTCAGAAAGCTTGCCCATAACCAAGCTGTTAGCTATGCGCTTCCAAGAATACCTCCTCGCATATCAAGGTCGGCGTATATAATATCCGCAGATCATCAGGTCCCAAGCCTGTTCAAGAACATCATCTTCCAAGGCAATTTGGGTTGCCAGCCGCCTCGATTTGTTGAGGAACGGCATCTGCATGAGGAGGAAAGAGAAACGGTGAAGACTTTTTCGCTGGTGGGGGAGTATTTATGTGGTGATGTTATGTAAGCAGGAATAGATGGGTCGTGAATTGGTTAGTAAGGTTATTTGTGCAGTCATAGTTGTGCGCTGCCTGCCTCGCCGAGTAGTGTGTGCCAGGCCAAACCAGTGGATTGAAGGACCAGAGTCAAGCGATCGATCGAGTTACCTTTCTTAACAATGATGAATAATGGGGTTGTTTTGGATTTACAGTCCCCTCAGCTGAGAGAACGCCCCACGCAAGTTGAACTATTGTGGCGGAGTATACTGTGTGCTCCAGGCCAAAAGGTCTGTGCCCGGCGTGTGCAACCAGAACCCGGCCCATGAGGTTTCGAACACGGAAAATTTTCCGCGGAAACAATATCCTTATTGCCATGCTAAGAAGATAGATTCATGCAGGCACTGATCAATAGGAGCAATCCACATGTGATATCACATACAGACAATAGTGTAACCGTTTCAGTGGGTGTCAAAAGTTTATTTGGGTCATTCTGGAAGAAGTTAGGGAATGGGACGATCCCGGGATCCCAGCGATGTGTGGCTGCGTACCGGGGTCGCACATACTATGAATGCTATTGTGTAAATTTAGACGTGTTGTGCTGGGCTGCTAGAAAGACGGGCATGCAGGCTTGAGAGAATTAATTAACTATTCTTGATTCAGAAGCCGGTGAGAGACTCAGACGATCGGCCTGTAGGTGTTGTACTTGTAGCACCTATGGACCTGATCACACAATACGTGGTGAGTGTCGGAAGTATTATGCTTACCTGGGTTTACAGATTGAAAGCAAGATCTGTAGTTCGTAAGTGTCTGCCTGCATTGCATTAGTGGCATCGGAACTGCTGTCCGCTGTGCTGTTCCAACTCGTAATCTAAGGCTGGGTGGTCACTCGCGGCTCGAGTCCACTCTATTGAGTTGAGAGAGGTTAGGGTAGTATTTGACGGTAGTAGTTAGCATGCACTGCTACTTCGGATGGTCTTGCCGGTCGTATTGTTCTGCGGGTGCCTGGACTCAGCACGTTGGGTAGAAGACATGGCGTTTTGAGGCTGAAGTTTCTCGTGAAATGGCATTCGTGGGGGATGTTTGTTTGATCTGCGGATTTTCGAGAGAAAAATGAGGCGCACTGCAAGATAAATGCATGGAATGGAAAGGAGAAGGTACAAGGTAACGCTGCCGTAGAGCATTCATGCCGAGATAAGGCTATAGATGCGTGCCTTTCTTTGGTACTTCGGGACAGCGATCTAGACTGTGAAGTGGTATACCGCAGAGTCTCATTCTGCGGCGATTCTTCGAGGTCCACAGAGTCGAGAGACGTGTTCACATTCCAGATGTACTCTAGAAGGTCAGTGCGGAGGTAAAGCTTACCGCTGCTGGCGATCGTGCTCAACCAACGAGACAATCGGCAGTCGGGAAATGGAAGGCTGCAAAGACAAAACTCCTAGGCTTGGTCACCGTAGGGTTGGCCAACGACGCTACTTCTGTTGATTTGTTGGATCCTGTACCAGAATACATCGGCTAGCAGGAATGTAGTACAAGTGCTCAACTGGCCATGCCGGTAGTCCGAGAACGCGTGAGGCGGTCTACGTTCATGCTGCATATCACCACCAGTAAAACCTATTCCTCGTCCTACTCGCGCGTAGAAACGAAGCCGACAGCTTCTCATAGCAAATGGGTCGGCCAGACGTCCAGATGCACGCTTGTGGGAACCATACACGTAGTTTAGTGTGCGTGTGAAGTATGAGTAACGCAGAGAATAGCTGAGCAAGCCAACCTCGTCTCGCGTTCTGTGCTACAGGTTCCCGCCTTAGCTTGTACTACCTCGGAGTCAAAGACTGTGAGACCCAGTCTGTCCAGGCCGACTGAACACCAAATGTAAGATTAGTTGAGGTGGGGAAGCTGGAGCAGATCCACCAAGACAATGCAACCTACCTACCTTTGGAGACAGAAGTGTCCTGCATGAAAGGAAGATGATTTGATCGAATGCCACTGCAATGTTAATCTTCGCCAACAGCTGACACTGCGACGATGAGTGCTTGGAGGTCATCTAGCCTGATAAGACGGTGGCCTGATCTGGTCCTAGCTCTGGAAACAGCGAAACAGAATTTCCAATGTGGACATACCTGCAAGATCGGCAAAGTAATGATGCTATCGTGTGACGGGGAATGGGCACTCATTTCCTCTGCATGTAAGTCAGTAGGAGAAGGGGAGATCTCGAGACATAACGGGGAAAGCCGTCGATGAGCGGTGAGCCTCATTGAGTTATCCGAGAAGGCTTCAACATCCTGGTAACCAACGAAGTATCTACTCCATATCATAGTGGTGGACTAGTCAAGAATAGATGTTGATGATCGAGTCATTCCACGAGAAGGGAAGGGCGGAATGGCGAAGAGGCACAAGCCAAGCTAGAGTACTTCCAACAGACTCACGGGCTTCTTCCTCGTAACCATTCACGGGACCTGGCATGTGGGGAATTATTGTTCCTAAATCCTTAGGCTCAAGTGGCATCCCGGTTGCCGGAATTCCTAGTGGAGAGCAAGCCATCCCCAGTGATACTAGTACTATTTCCAGGACATGCGTACTAATGAGAAGTACGTGGTTAGTCGAAACTTAGTCGATGATTTACTTCATTGAGCAGCTGAGCAGCTGCTTCAGATTCATGTGGGCATGAGGGGGAAAGATCCATATAGGGTGTCAGTCGATGGATACTAGATCGATGGAGACCGCGAGGAAGCGTCAGCCGTGATCATCCATGGATAAGTTAGATACTACTTACTTACTACTAGTAGTAATTAACTTACTAGATACACACCATGGGGCCAGTTGACCGAGCGGTAGGATTGCCGCCAATAGGGATAATGCCAGACTCCTGGAATGTGGGACTGGGTGGGGGGGGAGAAGATCGACGGGGGAAAAGAAGAGACGAAAAGCTAATGCATGTATGTACCTACTTTAGTCCCTAACCACAGCCCGTCTGTCTGACTTGAGATACATCCATCCGCTTCGTCCCCTACTAACTACTACTACTACCAACCAGAAGCGCTCTCTAGAGTCTCTTCCCCCTCCCTCCCCCTCCTCTTTCCCGCTACTACTCGTCCTGTCAGTCCGTGCGAGGGAAACACTAACTTCTAAATACAGTAAAAGTAAAGTTGTTAACTGAATTAGTTCATTCGTAATGGTAGATGAGTAATCGTTTCCTTCCCTTTCCTTTGCCGCGGCCCCTCCAAACCCCATCCATGGGAGTGAGAGACGGCGCTCCCGGGAAGGAAGTGTGATACGTTCCAGCTCCATCGCACTGTTGGATCTCCAAAGCCACGCTAGGCCTCGTAGCACCATCTGTCTCCCCTCCCGTAAACCTGACCCATCAGATACCCGACAAAAATAGGTCGCTCTGGAAAAGACCAAACCCCCCAGAGAGCGGAACCCCATCAGACCCAACAGAAGACTAGTCTGCGGACTTCCTTGTTTCTTCTTTCCAGGCTTCCCAGTTTATTCCAGAATGGTTCAAGTCATGCAATTGTTTGGATTCATATTACTTGTTAGGTATCTCGTATAGTGTTCAGTAGTGGATGAGACCAATCAGATTGAAAAGAACGCAGTCAGGTCACTCCCATCGTGTACAACCCATTCCCTTCCATGCCGTTTTAGCCTATCCATCTCAACGCATTATTATCCAATGGTAGGTTTTGTTTTTAGAAGAAGAAAAAGAAAAGAAAAAAAAAAGAAAAGAGAAAGAGAAAGAGAAAGAAGCCAAATGGAAAGTGCCTCTCCAAAGCACAAGAGATTTTGGGGCCCAGATGGGTGGGGAAAAAAAATAGAAGATCGTCAAGGAAAACACAAAGGAAAGGTATGCAACATTCGAATTAACAAAGGAAATCGTCCGGTGTATATAGCCAGAAAATGTTTTACAAAGAACGCCGTGAAGCGCCGACCGGGGTCTGTCGGGCCCTGTGTCTGTGCCCATCTAATGACCCAAAAGGGAACGGGCAACTCAGGTGCCCAAGGGTATCATGTTTCGGTCCTTCCCGTATTAAACTCTATATCCGTTCACTCCAACCACGCCTCCTCGCTCGTTTCACGAGCATCGGCCATGAGATCTTGGGACTTGGAGTTGTAGACTGGTCGCCCGTCAGCGGTCAATTGGCCGCGATATTCAGGGTTGTAGTCTGGGCTGTTCTCGTCCAATGTCGCGACATAGCGATTGCGGCCGCCGCGCTTACTGTGGGTCTTCGTGTAATGCGCGTTCAGGTTGTCACTGCGCGAGAAAGCCCGTTCGCAGCCAGGAACCCAGCATACATGTGGCTTCTCCTTAGAGTGGCTCTTCATGTGTCGCTTCAGATGCTCTTGCCTCTTGAAGCGACCCTTGCAACCAGGCTCCTTGCACTTGAACTGGACTTGCTTGATAATAGACGGAAGGTTCTCCAGGCTCAGGCTCTGCTTAGACGACTGCTTCCGAGCAACTTTCCGGGAGGGCTGGCGCTGGACTCGAAGACCATCGCGATAAACTGGCGATTGGTTGAAGTCATCCAAGTAATCCATGCCACCCGAGAGGCGGCTCATGGGAGTATCCGTCCCAGAAGTAGTCCCCAAGGAACAAGAACGCACTGGAGTGGTCGGGCTGTGTGTCTTGAAGGTATTGATTGAGCCCGAAAATTCCGAGTATGACGGCGGGGGGGTGACTGGGGCGACCTGCGACGGGGCAATAGTTTGCGGGGCAATTGAGTCCGCCGGCGGGGCCATCCAAGGTATCACATTGCCCATGGACATTGAGTTGGGGACCCTTTCAGGCTGATGGAAGATCGACCGCGACAGACAGGGGTTTGTAGCGGATTCGGGCAGGTAGGGTGCCGCGTGCTGTCGGTAGCTGTTCCGGCCCATAGTGGGATACTGAGGCATTGCCTGAGGGTATGGGAGTCCAGGGACGCCATGCTCGTAGGCTTTCTGCGCCTCTTGGGGGATCCAGAAATGTTCAACGTTCTCATCATATCCTGAGAGAAAGTCGGTCATTGGCATCCGTTCTTGTGCCTCCATTTGTCCATAGGACATTCCCATACTATCATTTGACGTCATGCTGGCCAGTCGAAAGGCACTGCGCATGGGCGTGGTTCCGGTGTGCCTTTCATAGCCTTGTCCCGGGTACGAGGCCCCTTCGTGCCAGGTGGGTGAAGCCAGAGAGCCTTGGCTGTACACACTTGTTGGAGTGGGCGTAGGTGATTCCATGGGCGAGAAGCTGGAAGCCATGGATGGGCACTCGTTGGAACCCAGGGAGGTACAGTCGACTTCGATGGTCAGTCGGTCAGACATGTTACCCTGGGATCTCATATCTTCGGTGTCTTCAACGAGATGATCCTTTCGAGACGGTGCGGGAGGAACTTCGACTCTTCCACCTGTGCAGGGTATAGTTTAGTGTCTGTGGGTAGTATTGAATGTACTATGTAGGGGAGCTGTGCAGGTGCAACGACTTCGGTTCTTGTGAAGGGGGGATGAGATTAAAGAGAGTTTTGAAGGTGGTATGCGGGTGTACAAGATAATGTATGACACAAGGAGGGTGCAGTGTATTATTAGTATATGAGGGAATGTGGCAAGGCGCAACGGCGGCGATATACAAGTGAGAGACGGTGGAGCAATGCAGGTGCAGCGAGGGACCAGTGATGACAAGAGAGAGGCACTGAGGGACAGTGAAGGTAAGAATGCGAACGACAGACGGAGGATGTAGCAGACAAAGCAGGGAAAGAATGAAGGGAAAGTCGCCTCTGCAGAGGGGAAGCAAGCCAAAAAGAGAGAGAGGAAAGGATGGGGAGTGTGAAGTTGAAGTCGAGGTTGGGGAATGGAGGAGGGACGGACGAGGTGAAATAAACAAATCTCCCGGCCATATATCAGGGAAGGCAGGAAAGGGTCGATCGCACTTACAGCCAGAAGCCATTACCTAGTAGTTCCCCAAAGGAGAGGGCGAGCAAAGGACCGAGTCAAGCAAAAAAAGAGAGAGGCGCGTCGCGTTCCTATGGTGGTCTAGTACGCAAGGCCAGGAATGTAGACTATAGAGTTCCTGGAGTAACCGCGGCGAATCCCCGTTGGGCGAAGAAACGGAGAGGGGGGGCAATTGTCCAAGATGGAGAGTTCTGGTTGGACTGAAGCCTCGAGGAAAGCGTTTCCTAGGAGGCGCGACTGTCTCTGGGTTAAAAGACAAGACGCGGTTGCTTTGTGGTTCGTTGTAGGAATAGCTCGAGAAGGGGGGCGTGTGGAGGAGGAAGAAGAGGGCGTGTGCGGTTCGAGATCAAGGCGATGGCGATAAATGGAGAGGAGACAATCGATAAGCCGCCCTGCGACGCGGTTTGCTTGGTCTTCCCTGTCTTTCCCAAGGCGGAGGCAGTCTGAATCAATGAAAGAAAGAGAAAGGATGTCTCAGTTGCAGCGGAGGGATGTAGTTATAGGAAAGGCAGGCTGGTCCAGCAAGGGGATCTGGATACAATTGGGTGGAGGACGCAAGTAGGAAGGAAGGATGTCTTAGGATTATTAGATGGAAAGCGTAAATTTGTCTAATATTGCACTGGGGATGATAATGGGGATGATGATTTCCAAGGCTGAAGCTTTTCCTGGCGGGGTTGTTCACAGGGGAGATTCTGGGGAGTCCGTGGGAGGTTAAATGTTAAATCCCATTCTGGTGAGTCTATCGTCGATTTACTGTTTCGGGCGAAGAAGCAGGCTCGGAGGGTGTGTGAGGAACCTTTTCCCAGCTAAGTCTTCTTTTTTATTTTATTTTATTTCGTTTTGGATTTTTGATTTCCAGTTTTCATCCCTCACCTCCAGTCATTTTCTTTTCGTCGATTTTCTTTTTATTCATTTTTTCTTTTACCCTTCTTTCTTATTTTTATTTTCCTGGAATTTACGTGTTATTTTTATTTTTTGCCCTTTCCCTTTCTACTTCTAGGTCTATATTTAATTCATTTTCTCCTTTTTAATCCACTAACGTCGATCTACCTCGAAGGAAAATCCACCTTATTGATCGCCTCGGATTTTTTAATCAGATTCCCTGTTCAACCTTCTTATCAATTGAGGATTATTGCTTGGGAAAGCAAGTAAGCAAGTAAGAGGGTACCAGCTAAGTAGGTATCCCAAAGCTATCGCCAATACACCCAATATCGTTTCCTACTAGTTTCAAGCAAGTGGTTGTCAAGATTCCCCTCTCTACCTAGTAGTATTGAACAAATTGGAATTCATTGGCCCCTTCTTTCCAGATCAAGTGAGCGTATGGACGAATCTTCTTTCATTCTACGAGATCCCTTCCAACCCATCTAATTGAAATTAGTCTAAAGTCCAAAGGAGCCCTTTCATGATCTTCTTCCAGAAGTATTGGGAGACGAATTCAGAAGGGAAATAAGATAATGATACCATATGGATACATACAACCTGTCCTACCATGGTTCAGAAAGGGAAAGAGAAAGAAGAGGAGTAAGTAGTGAGTAGAACTTAGTCCCTACTACTATTCCTCCTGCTACTACTCCGGTCTACCTACCAACCAACCAACCTACTGTACGTGCGTTGAATACCACCAAATGCAACCCGCCAATCCGATCATAATTTCTTTTGAGTCCCGAAACTGTTCCTGGGAGGGAGAATATCCACAGCGTCACTTTTGTCTTTCCTCCCAAACCAGAAAAAGAAAAAGGAATGAATGCATGAGACGCAGATGGAGGAGAACCACCGATGGAATGTTCGAATGTCAGCGCACAGCGAAACGTCGCTGGGGCCAGGCGGGCCATGGGGGATTAACTAAACCTTAACGCGGATCATGGAATTGGATCAACATCATCATAGTAATCATCAGCTCGTCCAGAATCTCGGGATCTTCCCCGGGCAGAAGAACCCACCGCAAAGTTACTCTGGCCAGCTGCTGGCTCGGGATGGCTGCAAGTAGGCTATCGAAAGTAAAACACCGGCAGATACCAGGTCATTTCATCTTTTCCCCATTCCTCCTCCAGCAGCGTCGTCGTACGACCGATTCCTTCGGGGGGGTGGTCTGTCCCACGGTCATTGCACCGCAAAGACCCTGAATGATCGGCATCGCTGAACCTCCATGTGGAGCGACTGGAGGTTTCGCTTCGGCAATGAAACATGTACGCATACTAATTTCCAGACACAAGTATGCAACAAAAAGAAATGAAGCGGAACAGTCACCAACACAGCGATCTGGTAGGTCGGTAACGGGTAAAACAAACCCACCACCGCCGTCATTCACAACATCATCAACATCATCATCATCACCACCACCACTACCATCAACTACGAATACTGCACGAAACATTAACGATGCTACCTTCTTTCTATTGCTCAATTCTTCTTGGATCTACACCATGCCAGCCTTACTACCAATGGGCATGTATGGGGCACGGCTCAGGTGCATTTCTTACGCCACAAGTTCCATAACTATCACCGATCGCCTTTTGGTTTCAACGCCACCGTCTAGGCCAGCTTCGGCCAGTGCGTTCATTGTTGGAACCGGAGGCTGATAATCGCATATCTACACTAACTCAAAGGCCCTTTGGCCATCCATCAGGAACGTTCAGACCGTCGAAATTAATGGCTCCACCTCAACCGAGATCTGGTGAACTTTGCCCGAAAGGAGCAACACGCATGACAATAGTTGCCATCAATTTACGGACATTTCAGGGAATCAAAGGAAAGTAAATTGAAGAAGAGTTAAAAGTGGAAAAGAGGAAAAGAGGGCGAACAGAGCCAGCCACAGTCCCGAGAGGAGCCAACACCGCTACTATTCTTACGATGATCGTATGCAAACCCCAACGCAGAAGCAACGTAGTTTGGGACTTCCAGAGATAACTGTCCGTTGGGTCAGGTACTGCCCGCGCGGGAGTGCCCACCGTGGGGATTTTCTATGGTCCCATGGTCCGAGCCTACCGAGCCAGCATCCGCTCTTCTGAAGGGCTGTTTTATGCCCAGATCAACAATTCACTGGCATTCACCGTTTGCTAGATTCTGGTCTGTGCAAACCCGGGCTGGATTGCAGACGAGCCCTGATCTCCTATGGTTTCCGACTGCAGACTGCCAGACAGGCCGCATCTTGATTCCAAACCCGGCCAAACTCGAGCATGAAGTAAGAATGGCGATATACCAGTTGGCCACGCACTAGATAAGTGATTGCCACGGGAAAATAGCCGATCAAACATGGCCTCCATACCGCGGGGAAGTAGTTTGGGATCCGAAGTGACAGGACTAAGGATCCGAGCGAATTCATGAGAGGTAAGAGATTCCTTGTTCTTCCAAGATCACCACTTAGCTGGTTTGTGTAGGTACCACCAAGGGTCTATCATGTTGGCCCGTAGACTGCATCCATTCAAGTCCCGTGTCGACCGAGTGCTTTTGTACTACCTCAATGCGGGCTACCTACGTATGACCACTACACAGCTAGAGGAGCATAAGCCAGTCAAGAGGAGTATTTCTTGTATTTTTTTTTTTTTTTTGAGAGAAGCAGAAAATAATAATAATAATAGTAATAATAATATAAGGGGTGAGTGATTGTGCGATTACCACCACCGGAATGGTGCAGCAAAAAGACTGCATTGGGGACTGGCAGCTATGTTGATTAGCAGCAGGCAGGTACTGTTGAGGCCTAGAGAACTAATAACGAGGCAGAAGAGATGCTTACCTATCCACCTTTTGGGGGGAGGGGAGGTTACAACTGGAGCGGATCACGTACTCAACGCCCCGTCTGTACTTTTCACTTCCACCATTTCCCGTCCATTCTGGGATCGACTGGAAGAGGCATGAAGAGCAGCCGAAAGGCGCTTTGGCCGACGATCACTGATCGTACGCACATCATCCACCTGGACCAGTGGGCGGGCGGTCGACACTGGCTGGATCCTGCAGGTTTGAAATCCGGCCTCCAGCCCCCCGGGGTGGGCCAGCCGAACCTATCAGAAACCCGCCAGCCTTGCCAGATGCCAACAGCCACTCGGGCCCTTCGCCCAGGAACGCTCCGGCCTGGGTTGTGGCCTATAGTGGTCCGTCACTGGTACCTTCTGGTCCTCTGAGATGTACGTAGCACAGTAGTCTCCTGTACCAGTCACCGTGGAATGTGGGGGTTGGTGTAGTGAGTGCTTCTTCTATCCACCGATTGTACCCAGTACCTCCCAATCGCTGGCTTGGAAGGTACCGAGTATGTACCTCGTATAGTATGTTACCTTGCAACAACTCTTCTGAGTTAAGTACTATTTACCAGTTGATTAGGTACAACTATCTTGATGGTAACTAAACGTACTACGAGTAAGGTACCTGAATTTTACTGGTACCGACCGGTGGTTACTGGTAAGTAACCAAGTAGAAGGGGAAAAAAAAAGAAAATAAAAAAAGAAAATAAAAAAACACTCACTCTCTTATTCACTTACTTACTCACACAGTATGGTTCCTTTCTAGCCGGTTCCAGTAGTTGTGCCACTCACTCAACGCCTTCCTCACAGCGTCACCAGGTCCTTTCTTTCCCTCCCCACCCCCCACCGAGTCATACCTCGATCGTCCTTATCGCCGTCATCACCTCAAATCCCAGCATGACTGGTGGGTGGACTTTTCAGGTGTGTACCACGTCTTTCAGCGGATACGTATGGCACGGTCTACATACATACATACCTGCCTATCTGCTATTTACCTCCCCACCAGGTGCTTGTCTCTCGTCTCATGACTGGTCTGGTTCTTCTCGCTTTTGCCTCCCCCATTCCCAATGGTCATTGACTGACTCGGATGATGTTCCAGCAGGGAGAACTTCTGAGTATTGGTTACTATCGCTTAACTGCCATTTCATAATGAGATTTTTGGGGTTCCGTTGACTCTACCTCGTCATGGCTTTCTCCACCGGTGAGGCGGCGCAGTTTCTGACTCGTCACGCGTCAGCCAATGCTTCGATGCTCTGGGCATGAACCCCGTTGCTTCCATGCGAAAAAAGGAACCACCAGCTGGACAAGTCAATCGGTCGGACACGTTGTTTGCTCCCCCCTAGTACTTTTGGGCTGATAAGGTACTGTCCTGGGACCATTGGCCGTGAATACTTCATCCTAAAGATGGGCTGAGTGACGACCGTTACCATTGCTTGTAACTTCCGAGCCATCGTGGGCATTTCAAGAAGTCGCTGACAAGAGACGGCTTTTTTCTGAAAGGCTCGTCTGTAGCTTTTTTTTTTTTTTTTTTTTTTTTTTTTTTTTTTTTTTTTTTTTTTTTTTTCCAAATGGGGTACTAAGGCTCTTCACAATAACCGGCCTCCAGTGGTCTACAAGAAACCAATCGCCCATACATTGAATCAACCACCCCAAGAAATGTATGCTAGTACCTTCAGTCTGGAATTGCGGTCGGATGTTGTCGACAACGTAATCCGCCTGATCAACCACCGCAATGACACATTTCTGACTCGAGGCAAGCTAGGAAAATACCATGTCTTGGCCTATGCTGTGTGTTGGGACTTGCAACCAAATCTCATAACTACCTGCCGATATCGTACTTAGTCACTGGGTCCTAACTCCACTACTGAGCCCACTCCACTGTGTATGAGAGGTACACTCATGCGTGAAAGTATCTTTCGTGACACGGATAGTGATAACACATTGACCCCTCTCATTGTCGATATTTTACGGAGCCCCTCGCTAGGACCAGAAAGGAAGCTTGAATGACAAAGGGGATAGGTTCTCATCAAGCCACTAAGAAACAAAGTTTATACCCGGTGCGACGCTAATCAATGGTGTCTGTGGGTGGGTTTGACAGTTCCCCTGCTTGGCTGCTCATTGATAAACTAGCTCTTACTATACTGAGAGTTCGTATTTAGCTGAGGCTTACGGTCACCAGGGTTTGCCTATTGAATCAAGAGCTTAGTCCAAAAGCAACAGGGGTCCTTTTGGGACATATCGGGATTTGTGCAGTATCGCGGATCTAATGGGAGCGTGTACTCCGCATACACTCGCTGACCTGGCCGGATCGCTATTCTTGGTCTCACACTCCCTATTGCTGCTGAGCCACACTCCCAAAGCAAGAACTGAGCCACAGCCGCTATTGCCTAGCCACTTGTGACTTGTCATTTCCGCCGTCGTTCCAGGCTCGGCCGAAGGATATCACCGCTGGTTGAAGCCCTCCACTTTCCCAATCCACCAAGTCCATGGTGTTCTCGAAGGCTTCACTTACTTATCCAAGCACTCTGCACCGCTGATCTTGACGACTACCAAAAGACCGTGCGTCGCAGCCTATACTCAGCCGCACAAAGGCAATCTTGCAGGCTTGCCGGTCTTAAGCCCGTAGCAGCATCGTCCGGTGTCTGGGCGATTGGTTCTACATCCCGAGTGAGCAAAGTGGAACGGACAGACAATCTTCCGAAAATAATGGCCTCCCTTGACTGTTCTGGCCCGAGCTCAGCGAGCCACAATTCATCAGTCAACTAATCAGCCCAATTGAGTCATTGCTGAATTGTGTACCTTGGGCGACTATACTGCTTCCATCTCAAAGGAGCGGCTGACGTCAAGTGGCTGTCTTACCACCTAGATTATGTAGCTATGACCACCCGCTTTGATCAAACCCCGGATTTTCAATTGAACTTTGATCACCAGATCCCTTTAATCCCGCCCAATGGGAGTAGGCTTTCTGGATGAGAGAATTAGGCAATAGGTGAATTACGCTAAGATCATCAATCGGGCCCCGAGCGGGTATCTAGGAGCTAAGTAACTCTTGTTATCATGCACCCGCGGACAGGCACAACTGACCGCCGGGTTGAGTTAGACTACGGTTTATTCGACACGCGATTTTGGTGTGGTTGTTTTGGTCAAATTCCTCTACTCCTGTTGAAGAATCAATAATTATATGAGCCTTCTGGGGTATTTGTCAACCGTCCTTGTGCGATCACGGCGTTTCTTCATCGCAAATCTCACCAAATCCTGCTTTCCGTCGTCCCAAGGGCGAACCCCTGCAGCACGGGCCTGTATGTCGCAAGGAGTTAACCGGACAATTCAAGGGCGTTGAGATCTTCGAAAGGGTTCCTGCGGTGAGATTCGAACCCACTGCATTGACGATGCTGCCAAGACCACGATCAGCCGGTTCCTGGATATTCCCTCCCTTTATTATCTTTCTGCCCACCGATCAATATATTGGACCCAGATCCAGTCCGCTCCGATAAAGATGCGGAAAAAATGGCCGATTGTGGCTTCCTACCACCCAAAAAAAGCCTGTGAGAAACTCATTGCAAAGGAAACTTGATCAGATCTACTCCAGATGTCGACTAACTTAGATCTTGATTACAAACGTGTGAAAGCATCACTTCTGGCCACCGGCGCGACGAGGGCTAGACTTGGTGGTTATTTCAAATATGTGTTCTGCCTATCTGGCTACATCCCCTAGTTCCAGCCAAGGTTTGGCCATGAAGTTATTGAGATTGTCCAAGAATTGCAGCGCACGGGTACGATACTCGTCCGTGAGCCGGCTAGTGAAGACAAAGAGAGAAAGGGCCACATAACATGAAATCTGCATGACGACAATAATAGCGATCAGAGAAAGATTGGTAACGTCTTGCTTGTTCGGTTGCTTGGACCTGCAACAGCAAAGCCTATCATCCACTCGCACAGCCACAGGTCTCCGTGGCTGGTTTGAGGGCTGGCTAAAAATCTCACTCGACAAAGTAAAGGAGCCGTTTGGGTTCAGCAATCCTAAACCCTTTCTGCCCGATCGGTCATCGATGATCTTCGTCGCAGCATCCTGGGTATGGAGTACTCCGTTATCTATGATGACTTAGCCTAGAGGCTACATTCCCGTTTATCTGAAGCTCTGGCAAGCAGCGGCACTGCTTCCCATTCTCCATCTTCTTTCATGGCGCCTTCAACAGTCACAATGCGCCAGTATGTACAGGTCTGGATCAACTAAGCGAGGGCTTGAATAAGTGGTGGGTTGGGTCGGCGTAGATTGGTGTTTATTGGACTTTGTTCTACATGCCCTCCTGAAAGGTCGACGGAGCAGTCAACAACCTGCTGCAGGTACACCAGCCCAGTACAATGTCTTCTGTGCGACCGTTCGGGACGTGATTCTTCTTTCTTCCCTCTTTTCTCGACCTTTCTCGGGAAGCCACTGGAATAATTGGCCAGAACCTGATTAACCCCCAAGAAAAGTCCACGGAGCATTAAGAAGCAGGATCAACACTGAATGTCGCTGAACAAGGTCCATTCATGTCTCAGCTGCTGCGCAGCCCTCCCGTGCTTCGTTCTATTCCTGTTTCATCAGCATCCATGCAAGACACGGCCAACAGTTATCAGCTATGGTTTCTTTTCACTGGAGGGCGAGTGGAGAGAGTTCTGTAGGGGGCGGATCCCAATCGGGCAATCCCAGCTCTGCTAGTGCTGCATTGTCCGCCCCTTGCGTCCCGATTTTTTCCTTTTCTCTGCCAAATCACCCCCAATAAATGGAGAGACTCAGGGCTCGCAATTGGCTGAAGGTCCGCCAATTTCATCAATCTGCCCACCAATATCGCCATTTTGAGTTGCATTGCATTGCATTGCGTTGGCGTTGAAGGCCCATTCCTGGCCTTGGCCTATGGAGTCGTGCAGAAGTAGGCCTATCTGGGCAAGCGATTTTCAGCAGCGAACCAACCCCACAGAGACTCGTGCGCGCGACACGACCATCTTTCCGTTCTGGTCCAACGGCGGTGGCTGTCTGGGGAGCATGGCAGGAGGAAGGTGTGCGAGACGGTCCTCGCGCAGCTGCTTATCAAAGTGGTCCATTCTCATCGACGTCATTTTATTGATTTCCCTTGGGCACCAATCCACTATTGGTCGCACTCTCGGGCTCCTTGGGCTCTCGTTAATTATTAGCTAATATATTGTTCCAGGGGCTGTTCTCTTCCTCCCCACGTCCCCTCCGCACTGTACCACAGAAGTTCTCGCGAACCCTCCCGAATCTTTCGGCTGGTCTTCAACTATACATTCGCGAAACCCTAGATGTCCCCATAATCCGGAAATAGAGCATTCAACCCCAGAATGGGGATTGCTGGCTGAACCCTCACAATAAGCCACGTCCAAGCTTCTGCATCCCCAGCCTAACCCGCGATAGTAGGTAGTGTATCGCTCTGCAACGCTTCACTACGACGTGATGAGGTACTCTAATGTACTGTTTTGGTTGGAATGTGCAGGACAACCTGAAACCTAGCCATCCACCAGCCATTCTCTTCGGCCGGAGTGACTGGACTGGCTCGGATCCCCTCTTCATCCTACTCAGGACACCCACCTCTTCACCCAACCGGGTGGCCGGACCACGCGCACACACCCTCTCTCTCATGCAGACTAACCCATTTACATACATCCGTACATCATCCATGCAACTGTGACACAAACCAGAAACTCAATATCAGCCTTGACGCCGCGGAGACTCGTTCCTGACCCCTTCCTACTTGGGCAGTTCGACACTTTCCTCGTCCGTGGCTGGCTCGACCATGGCGCACGTACCGTATATCTGCAGCGGAGATCATTGTAGATCTGCAGATCATGTCCCAGTGGGCCGGTCTCTAATTTGTCCCAGCTACGGCTCTTTGCTACAATTGAAGTATTCAGCATGATTGTCCCAAACAGAATAATACTCTACGGCATTTGGTAGGTTTGGATTTGGTAGGGGGCGAAAAGAAGAAAACCACACAGGACTTGCTGTCGAATCATGTCCATGGATACTATTGTGCCACATATTGGTCTCAAAGTCAACTTCCTCTGGTGAACTTGTGGTCACGGGCCCCTTTTACTGGTTGCCATGTGACAGTTCCAGCTCAAGCAGTTGGCCGCACTGCAACTGACAGCCTCTACAGTACATTTCAGCTACACACAACACCACCACCACCACCACCACCACCACCACAACTATGAAGTGCATGCTACCGTGTCGAACTACACAATAAGGCAATATCTTATGATATGACAGAACTCTATGCTAGCTAGTGGTCGCCTTCTTTATTCTATAGAGTGTCTGTGGATGTCCATGACTCGAGAACCTTGAACATCCTCTGCCTGCAACTCTCGAATCCTACAATTAACACATTCACATCTTCGTTTCATACAGTTAGAAAATGAATAACTCGAGTAGGCAGATGATTCCACAACTCAGCCTTCGTCGATCATGGTTGGGGATAATACTACCTTCGCGCAACAGAGAACGAGCAGCTGAGCAGCTGAGCATGTAGTAGTAATAATAATTATAATAATATCGACACATATAGTTAAATGTTGCTCAGCTGAGCCCATTCCAACCCATTGCCACCTTGATGATAGTAACGTATTCGTAATAATGATAGCGGCACATATACTAATCAACTATCTATTCTAATTTAATTTGTTTTTCTTTCTGTCGGGATTTGTAGGAGTCGTTAACGTCTCAGCGATACTTGGTGGCTGAGGTATACTAACTATACGTTCAGGCGTGCATAGCAGGTCAGCAGCTTCGCCCACACAGAGAGGTATCGGGTTGCTTCAAGTGATCTACTCTTGTGACTCGAGGATCCGCTTTACCACTATGTTGTTTGTTTGGATATCAGGATCCTAGATAGATAACCTAATAAATATTGTAATACTTACTGCTAACAGTGTGATGAAGTGCGAGTATCTTACTAGTATATATATAAAGAGTACGGTGTTGTGTAGGGGATGCGGAACATTGTTCAGTTCAATTTCATTTCTCTTCAACAAAAATAACTAGTAGAGATTCTTATAGACAAGTGTTCCTGGGGAGAATAGAAGTACTCCAAGATGATTTTGCTGCAGATCAGACAAAACGATTGCTATATATATTCGGTCATGCTCAGAGTTCCAGACTCTCAGATCCATAGCCAAACTCGTTGTCAGCAGACTCTTCCGGCTCAGACGAGGCCTGGAACTGTTCGGCAGCCTTAGCTGCGGCCTTCCTCCAGTCCGCCAGCGTGCTGGTCGAGAATACGTGGTTCCCCTCGTCTAGATAGGCTAGACCATCCATCGCCCGGCCCCCACAGGCGCGCTGAAGGGCCAGGAACGCGAAGTGGCCGCCGATCACCGGCCGAGCGTAAAAGTTCGGCCCAGGGAATTCGCCCTTGCCTTCCGTGTTGTGGAGATCGGTGAACGGAAGGTCGGTGACCGTCTCATTGACCCATTTGGCGACGGATTCGAGAACCTCGCTGCGAACATTCTCGCTGGCAACAGCCATGGAGAAGAACTCCCAGTCGGTCTTGGTATACAAGTGCCGGCTGTCTAGAGGGAGGCCATACTTTTGACGCACATTGTGGTACCAAATCGACTGTCTCTGGTAGATGTGCCGGGGTACGAAGCCCGTCTTGTGCGGGTGAGGAGGGTGTGGATGAAGAGGTTTCTGTTTGGAGCCAGACGTGGCGTGTGGAGAGATATCGGTGCCCTCCAGATGGAAGCACAGCAGTGCATCGGCGTACAGATTGTAGATGGTGGTCCACGATCCGTACCAGTCGTAAGCGAGCTTCGCGTGTGTCTGGTCTCGAGACATGCCCAGCTCCTCCCACTTGGCAATGTACCTATCTGCGATATCCTGCGATGGATGGTGAGAGATGCGCTTTGCATAAGTGACCGTACAAACTTACCTTGTAGTAAGAGGCGTCTTCATCATTGCCAACCACCTCAGCTAGCTTGCTCATGGCATTGATGCCAACAATACCTTTGAGTGCCAAGTTCGTTTGAAGCGCAAGCCAGCCGGCGAAATCGTCCGTCGAAACTATCTGAGAGTCAGCTATGGCCATGAAGTCCTCTCAGGTGACACCTTACGCTGATTCTCGGGCTCCAGCGAGAACTCCACCAGGTAGCCTGTCCACTGTTTCCAGAGACGATAGCTGCGCTGGAGCCATCGCTCCGCCTCACGTTGGCCTTGTATACCACCACCCCAGCGTCCATCCTGCTTATCAATACCTCCATGTGCCTGGAGATTTGCAAGAGGAAAGTACCCAGGATGATCGTCCGAAAGTACAGGGCTCTCGCCTTGTGTTGACCAGATGGACGACGCAGCAGAATCTTCTGAATAACGCAGCGAGTTCACAATGGCCAAGCCCATGATGAGGATATTACCGCATTCCTCCACTGGCATGTACTCGTCGTTCCCATCGGGATGTCCAGTGGCATTCGGGAAGTGAGTTCCCAAGTCATGCATGGCGTACGTGTTTGGATATTGTCCACTCAACATGTGCTCGATCAATGGCTCCAGAAGGTAGGCCAACCACCGCGGGTTAGTGTACAGGAAGAACGGGAAGGCAGGGAAGATGACATCAATCGTCTGGAAGTTTCCGTTGGATGAGATCTCTTTCAGAAACAAGATCGGATCTTCAGGCGTCCCAGAGAAGGTAGTTGCCCCCATGACCTGTCGGGCAGAGAGTGCGACAATGTCAACATAGTCGTGTGCGCCCGACTGATAGGCATCCTTGGCTAACTGTTCCGAGTAGTTGGAGGCCAGCGCACTCGCCTGGGAGAAATCGTGGTAGTGGAAGTTCAGGAGCGCGTCGACGCTAGGAAACCATGACTCCCACAGAGGTCGCATTAAAGTCAAACCACGTGCAGAGGCATATTGGACAACAGGATCATGGATCAAGGCAATGCTAAATGTTACGCTGGCGCTGGTCGGCCCCGATTTCCGGTTGAGAACGAATGACTTGGAGAACGCAAAGACCGGCTCTCGGTCTCCAATGGCACGGAAGACTTCATCGTTGACGTTGTCCAGGACTCCTTGAGTCAAAAACGTTTTCCTTACGGCCGACGCCTCGCCAGACTGAAAGTGGACATCCTAGATGCTCGGGTCAGCAACAAGCAGAGTTGACACTACCGACAAGTTTACATACGGCGGGCGCGGTGAAGTGAAGAGTGCCCCATTCGGCGCGATCGCGGATTTCCGAAAACAGCAGCTCAGACTGTCTCTGGTATCGCCATCTCCGCAAAGCCGGTTTATTGTCTTTCGCATCGAACGCGTCATACTGCCAAGAGATATGACTCCGGGTGTCACCGCTCACCCAGCCTCCATTGATGTCCATATAGACATTCACGCTTACTTCACCATGGACATGGACTGTGACATATGATGCGGGAATCGACTGCCGCAGAGTCGATGTAGGAGTGATGGGAGACAAGAAGGAGAGGGTGATCTCCAGGGGATGGGAAGCAGAGGTGGAGGGATCAATGCGGTAGGTCAGATTGGTGGTAGATGCGTCGTAATTGGCACCAAGGTATGTCGGAAAATCGATTTGTGACCTAGCAGCGTATATCAGTTGGAATGGTCGTGGATGGGGATGATGCTGTGCGAGTGTATATACCTGGGCAGGGATTCGTGAGGCTTGCCCAACAATGGATACACGGTGCCCGTGCTGGGGACATGAGCCATCAGAGAGAGGCCCACCTCCTCGCCAGTGTAGAACATGGGCCATTTAGTCCAGGGTTCATCTCTGGCATTTCCAAACCAGGTGCTCAGATAGGGATTCCGCACGATCAGAGGTAGAACGGGCGGCGTCAAGGTGGATGCAATGCCGACGGTCGCCTGAAGGGCGGCTGTCAGCACCGCAAGGGATGGGCGCATTGCGGTTGAGTCGGCGCAGTCAACCGACAGGTAATGAATAAGAATGTCAAACAAAGGATAGGTGTTGATGGATAGGATGGTAGAAGCTATCCATCAAGCAGCAGTGATGAATGGTGAGGTGGAAGAGGAGCAGAGGTTGGAGGTGCAGGTCGGGGGATCGTCAACAGCTGAACAGTAAGCACCTGATGATGCAATCACTCCATGACAGGGCAACGATCGACACGGTCGGAGCAGCGAACGAATTTGCACCGTCCAAGCCACTATCAGAACCCCGAAAGGATGACCCAAGAGGATATAAAAAGATTGGAGTAATTTGTACGACGCATGAGGACTCGATGGCAAAAGACCGAGTCTCCGAGAGCCAAAATGCGGGGAAAGCTGGGGATTCCCGCATCGGGACGATAAGCTAATCTGCCAGGCACCACATCTTTTGAAAAGGATAATACGCTGTTATTGTATTTTCAGTAGCCCAGCAGTTAGCTTAGGAAAGTTTCAAAATAATAGCTACGGCATCCTCTCCCTTGACAGCTCCATCCAGCAGACAGAGACCTTTAGCTCAACGCATAGTTAGATACAGTGATCCCTTCATATTGTTACACGATGTGTTCAATATTAGTACATATACAATTCATATAGAAAAACCCCTTGATTCAACTCATGATTTTTATGCTATAGGAATTCGGCAAGAACAAAAGGAAACCAGGCTTGTAATGAAGTCACGTCCGCTTGTATACCAGTTAGTTTTATTGAAAGCTTCAAGGATAGAAAACCATCGCATATCTTCCATACAACCACCATCTCTGAAAACTCACGGGCTCACGTCAGTATAAGTTTGATACCTCCACTGACCTTTATATGATGATGTACGGTAACTGTTTGATAATATGGTTAGAAGGGGAAAGTATCTTGACATCCTAAAACGTATAGCGTGTTGGGACGTCTTTTGTCTTAGAACAGCGCTAGAGGCGCTTCTTAGTAGCCATGCCAACTGTATCCATGAGCCGTTGCATGAAACAATGCCTAAATACACCTGCCACCAAAGAATGTCCTCCATGCTTCTTTGGACTCTCGAAACTCTTATGTACACCTGGGACTTCATGGATAGGAATATGAAAGCAGATGTTGAGAGGTGAGGGTCCACTCCTCTTATCTTAAGTTGATGATGATAAATGGACGACTTACGTCTGGCTACTTACTAAAATTCATCTGGAAGGAGATAGGATAAGGGAATACTACAGTTGCACCACCATCAGAATACTTTGTCACATGTGCTGAATCGAGGGTGCATATTACCGACCAATCAACGACTGTCGTTTACTGCATTTCTGTCCCACTTTGGTTATACCCGTCCCAGAATGGTAAAAGGCTAGCCTTATCTAGATCAACTACCCCGCAAATATATGCCACTAAATCAAACACAGTAATCAATACATTGGACATGCAAAAGTTCAATGTGCTCAAAGATGTCTACGCTGCTCTCAAGATCATACAAAGGTATGTGCAGAACAAGAGATCCCAGTCTAGCCTAAATCGAGTGCTGCTTACTGGTTCTGGGCCGAGTCCAATTGAGCTGCTGTCATACCTAGTTTCGATCGTGACGGTCGCTAAATATGTCTCCGACGGGGCATGGATGTATTCCTACCTTAACAATGCGTGACATCTTTTCGCAGTATTACTGATCATTTGACAACCAATTGGCTAATGCGCTTAAGATACAACTATTTTCGACTATATAAAAATATTTATTATCGGCAACACAAACATTTGCTTCCCTCGCGTGCGCGTCATAGCTTTGTTAGACCGACGCCAACATGGTCCCTGGCCACAAGGTGTACCGATATTCATGCCAAAGACTGGAGCTCTCTGACTCTAAAATATGGCTCCGCCAATTATCGCTTATAATTTATCTGTGGAACTTGATAAGTAGAAAAGAAGTAGACATGTCGTACAAGGCTAAAGCACCAATCATCCCTCAGCATGTCAGTGAAAGCTGAGGCAGACAACAAGCATTCTACCGATGGGTCATAATAAAGCCCGCTGCTATTGCTGGAGAGAGAGAGCCAAAGACGGAGTTCAGCGCAGTAGCCAGTCATTTGCACAGCTTCAGGAATGTGGATGCTGCTATCTGCTTGCATCTTCTTTAGATCGCGATGAAGTGGAACCCGAGAATGACAGAGACACCTGGATTGCACGTGTAGACAAATTAAACACCAATCTCCCAATTATGAAACGGCCAAACAGCAATCATTCAGTGTAGAGTGTTACTATTTCCTCTTCCACGGAGAAACCACAACGCCGTAAATAAAAGTGGATGTTGAAAAGCGGCCGACGCGTGGAAGGGAAGAAGAAAGACACGCTATGAGGCTGGACGTTGCTTAGTTTCACCGCAAAGGGGAACCACCGAACCCTCGACGCGGATGACCACGCGCCTCTGTCTTTCCCCCCCATCTTTCTCCCCAACTCGCTGCCATTGAGTCTTCTGACCCAGACCGTGACTTTGTCTTTCTCCCTTGCTTCCTCCCTTTTAACCTTTCGGACCCAATTGCACCAGCTCGTGATCCTCCACTCCGGAAGACGTGTGTGCGCGTGTGTGGGCATCGTGACTTGGTACTACTACTACTACTCACTAGTACTACTTTACTGCCATTTCTACTAGACCCTACTCACCCTAAACTTCCCCCCCCCAACACACTCTTTTACTTTACCTACACCACGACACCACCCTTCTTCTCTGAAGCTCCTTTTCTACGGAGCATATCACATCCTCCAATGCACTCTACCATGTCCGCATCACACCCCAGCCCCGTCAAAGACGGTAGGCGAGTGCTCGGGGAGAAGCACGCCAACGCGTGCCTGTCACCCGCCCACCATCGGCACGCTTCTGTCTCGCCCCTCAAACAACGACGCTCTCTCCTTGAGACCTCCTCCTCTCCTAAGAAGCTCCTTCCTTCGCCTCTCTTTGCGGGCCAGAAACGTTCTATCGACCAGGTGGACAGCACCAGCGAACCCCAGATCAGCCATGCCAGCGCGCAGCCCCAGTCGCGGCCAGAAGCATCTCCGAACGTGCAGCATGACGTTCAGCAGGTCCCTCAGGTATGTACCACCACAATTCCACACACCCAGCCAAAAATGCGTCAAATTGCCCATTGACTCTAACAAAAAGCCAATTCAGCCACACGCGACGCCAGAGACACCAACACAGCTTCTAGAATCACAACAACACCAGCCACAAGAAGATACCCACTCCGACCAAACAACAACACCGACAACAACAACAACACCCCTCATCCCCGAAGATCCAGCAACGCGCAAGCGCTTCATCCAAGAGGTACGTACCTCGTACCTCCATCCCCACTGACAGAGTGTACTAAATAATCCCCAGAAAGCAACCCTCCTCCGCACGCGCCTCCAAACTGCCATGCGTCACATCCAAGACCCCCAACTCGACCGCCGTCTCTCCGACCTTGAAGCTCACAGTCGCAAATACCCTCGTCTATCTCTTCCCCAAGAACAACGAATTAACATCACTACGCCGACTTCTTCTTCTTCCACATCCTCGTCCTCCCAAAACCAAAACCAGACCACCCCGCGCCCTTACCAACCTTCTACACACCTCCCGCTGCACGAACCCGAGACCCAGAACGCGTCCGGCCTCTCCTCCCCACCCCTATCCACCGGAACGATCGCAACACAGAAGGAACAAGAACAAGAAACACAAACACCCACCCAAAGAGCAGAAGATGACGATAATGACGACGATCCGATGAGAACACCCACCCAGAAATCAACAACCCACCACAATCATACCCACCGGAGAACAAACACCCTCGGCTCCCCAATGCAGCTGAGTAGTCCTCCGGCGACGGTGTCGAGGTGCAGAAGTACAGAAATTGGCAAGGATATGGACATGGGAGACGAAGAGGAGCCGCAAGAGAGACAGCGCCGGTTATCGCAAAAGGGAGATGCCGTGGACGGGTTGTTGAAGTTGATGGGGACGGGGGAGAGTGTTGCTAGTGGAACTGGAACTGGGATCGCGTGAGTGTTGGTGTTTTGAGATTTTGCATTGAAACTTTGGTTATAGATGGTATTGGAGTTGGAGTTGGGATTCGTTGGACAAAATTGGATTTGGAGTGGAGTTTTGTTTACTCATGTGTCACATTTGGTTTGGAGAAGCGTGTATTAGTATGGGGTGGTGCATGTATGCGCCGGTGAAAGACATAACACATAGATAGACAGAGAGACATTACATACGTGACTATACTCCGAACCTATCGCACCAGCAATGGTTTCTCGAGAAAAGTCAATGATATGATACCAACAATGAAATGCAAATCAAATCTACATGCCATTGCTAAATAAACCACATTATATACAAAGCACGGTAGTCAAATGCCAGAAAACAACTACCGCACCTTCTTCAACTTATTCCTCTTCCTCCCCAAAACATCTCTCCCCTCCTCAATCTCGCCATTCGCCTCTCTCTTGGCCTCCCCAACCTCCTTCAACACACCCGTCCTCACAACCCTACCCTCCACACTAACCCCTTCCTCACTCCACTCCTCCATCTGCCTCCCGACCCTCTCCTCAATCGCCAACACAAGACTCACATCCCTCTGCCCCACCAACGTCACCGACTCACCCTTCCTCCCCGCACGCGCCGTTCTACCCACCCGATGCACATAATCATCCGGATTCCTCGGCACATCGAAATTGACCACCAACTCCACCGACGGAATATCCAAACCACGAGACGCCACATCCGTCGCGACGAGCAATCTCGCCGCGGACGCTCGAAACCTCGCCAAGTTCGCATTTCGCTCCGACTGCGGCAGCAGACTATGCAGAGAAGTAACACGGTGAGACAGTCGGCGGAGCATACGCTCCAGCAAGTCCGCGGTCTTGGTGTGGTTGCAGAAAATGATGGCGGGTTTGGAGGCGTTGGCTTCCGTGGAGAGGAGGACGTGGAGGAAGGCTTCGCGGTGGGTCATGGGGACTTTGAGGTAGGTTTGTTTGAGGGTGGGGGGGATGGAGGCGTTGTTTTCGGTGGAGATTTCTGTCACGAAGATGGGCGGTTTGGAGGCCGGCCGGGGCATGGATTTCAGTGCGCGTACTTCCGGCGTTAGGGTTGCTGTGAAGAGGAGGGTTTGGCGCTCGCTGGAGGGTGGGAGGGCCGACAGGCAGGTTTCGACGTCGGGGAGCATGCTGCCGTGTCCCGGGGAGAGGAGTCGGTCGGCTTCGTCGAGAACGACCATGCGGACGCGCTTCAGGCCGCGGATGGTGTCGGTGCCCGAGGTGTTGATGTGGTCGGCTAGACGGCCGGGCGTGGCGATCACGACGTGTGGGCGTTGCGCGAGCGCGAGGGCTTGAGGGCGCATGTCGGTGCCGCCGGTGATGAGGAGGGGTTTCATGCTTTGGGGGGCGGAGATGGCTTTGATCTGTTCGTAGATTTGGAGGGCGAGTTCACTAGAGGTATATAGGGTTAGCAATGGTGATTGATGGGTAATTGGGGGGTGTGGGTGGAGGTTTGGCTTACCGAGTTGGAGTGAGGACCAGGCCGAAGATACCGAATGGATCCTCCGCCCATTTCTGCAGCATGGGGACTGAGAAGGCAATGGTCTTACCGGAACCAGTCCGGCTTCCACCAATGCAGTCCCGGCCGCTCAGGATCTCGGGGATACAAGCTTTCTGAATAGCGGTTGGTTTGCGCACGGCCATGGTGGTTAGGGAACCGATCAACCACGGCGCCACTTTGAGAGAGGCGAAGGAGTTCTGCGCTTCGTTGAGACCAATCTCCAGCGCATCTTTGATCAGGACGGGCTCGTCTTTATCCGATGTGGCGGGCTTCTTCTCTTCATCTGCGCCCTTCTTCTTGATACGGGAGAGAGTGGGGAGCGGCGCCGGGGCAACGTAAGAGTCGGTGGAAGACTCCGAAAGACGTCTTCTCTTGGGGGCGCGGGATTGCAGATCGGTCTGCTCGACTTCCGAGTCGGAGGATTCGTGGGAATCGTCCATAACTGGCTCTGGGGAGCTGGAGGGCGACATGATTTGAGGTGGAAATTGGATGAAGATCTGATTGCGCTTCGATTTTCTTCTAAATTTCGCGGCAGAAAAAGAAGTCCGCGCGGAGCGGTGAGGGACTTGCACTAACGGTATGGGGGATAGACTGCGTCGGAGATCGGGCCAATCAGGATGTCTGAACTA